GGGGTGACGTCACGAGTGCTCGCGACCAATGAACATGACGTAGTTGGATCGCTCACTCCTTTCTTATAGTCCAGCACTCTGCGTGGCTACCAACATCAATCAATCATCCAACTAAATCTGTATGTCTTTTGCTCTCTTACCCTGGTCATGGATACCGTCAATAGAGTCGTCGAGAATGCCTCGAAAGCCATCTGGGGCGAACAGAACAGACAGGATGGAAACGCCAGTCAGGCCACAGCAAGCAGCAGCCAAAACAAGGGCATGACTGGCTTTGACCCCGTCGACAAGGTCGTCGATGCAGGCAAGAAGGCAATCTGGGGAGAAAGCGTCGATCAATCGTCGACATCGCATGGGGAGGAGCCGGTGGCTGGGAAGAGAGGACTGGGCACGGCGACAGACCCGTACGATGCTGGAAATCGAGATGGTATGTATGCTCTTTTCTTGTCATATATCCTCTGTCTCTGAACTCATTCATATCTATAGAGCAACCCGGTGCTCCGCCCGTCGAAGCCGGGGGTCTCACTGCCACCGAGCAACGAAATGTTGGAACAACACCACCCTCAAGCTTGAACAAGAACGGCAGCAGCTCTGTCACTGCTGCTGGTGCCACAAACCTGAAGACGACGGCCACCGGTCTGAGGCCTGATCCTTCAACCGTTTCTTCGTCGGGAGCATTTGCTGAGGCTGGATCGGGTCAGTCGTTGAAGCATACTGTCTCGCCATTGGAGGAGGAAACTCAAAATCTGGCCAGGGATCTGCAAGGTATATCTTGGACTCTGATGAGTAAAACTGTGATCGGGCTAATAACAAGAGCAACAGATGTCAAAGCCAACGAGACCACAGCTCCAGCACCAGAGACATCAACAGCAACCCCAGCGGTAGCCGGAGGAACAGCTTCACGCAATCAGACCGCCACCAAACATACTAAAAATGATAGCCAGTCTTCTTCTGCTTCAGGCGGTTCGTCCAGCAATAAGCAAGCGGGACAGAAGAGCAAGACTACGACATTGGAGAAGATGAAGAACAAGCTCCATATCGGGAATCATTCTCCAAAGGCCTCCAGATAAAAGTTGTTTGTGTCCGTATGATAATGTTATGAGATAACATTGGACGATCCGAAGGACTCTTGTACGTTACTTAGTTATATGCATGTATTCTACAAAGTTACTCATGCTGGCGTTTCGCGTTTTGTTTGGAAATTTTTCTCTCATTCGGGGACTTCCAAGATGACCATGAAGTCATGCAGTCATTTGCTATACGTCTTGTTCTCTACCAATCGTGCAGTCGATGCTTTAATACCACTTATGATCATTATTATGTTTATGACTGGAGTATGTCAAATCCAAGTATTGCTATTAATATCGATATGTTGAGCAGACATCAACTAATGCGGTATTCTACGTGGCATGATGGCTTAGCCATTTCTCTCTTCCTGCCTTTACCCATTCGGTGTGCATGCATCAGACAGACTAATGTAAGGCGTCCAGGGACTAAGCGCCCAAGCGTGATTAGATCGCGGCACTGAACGCTGCAATTGAGCATTCTATTTTTGCTGCCTTCTTTTTCTTCTATTTTCCAAGCTCTATATATAGACTTGTCCAATAGCTAGGTAGGTAGTGCCATACTAGGAGTTACCTCCCAACTACTGATACCATAACTACGAACTACGTATGTAGGGTAAATCCGGGGTGATAGCATCAAAATTATATTAATAGAAAGATGGACAGTCATAAAACGAGTCGCAAACGTTTCCCCGCTTGGGTTAGTCGTAGTCTTGTCTACAGATAATGGATGTTAGCGTGGCTGAAGGCCATGTGGCAACTTGCCAGCATCTTTTTGAGATGTTAGCATTATATTTTTAGATCCTACGCATGCCTTCTTCTACTATATCTAGAATTATCATTAATGATGGATTATACGGGTATGATGACATCGTGGATATACCCATCCGCTCGTATTTCCCGATGTTTCTAGGGCTAACTACCCAGCAGAATGCCTGCTATCTCACGCCCCCCAAATAAAGTCCGAGGCTGGGAATATCGCCGTGTCTTGTGATGCGGTCATAATAAAATCTAACAGTTAAGGAAAAACTGATGATGATCCATCTATCCCTGTTAGAATAACGCCATGTAGAAAAAGAAAAGAGGGAAATGATATATGCCAATGCAAGATTTTTTGACTACTGCCCGAGTCTGTGCTAGCTAGGATGACATTGACATATTCTTCTTCTTGTTGTTGTTGCTATTATTTCAGTCAGTATAGCATTTCATCCAGCTGACAATTCTTCAGGAGAAAAAAAAAAATAGTCATACAATACGAACGATGCAGGGTCTGTCAAGAACTATCTTCAAACAACCACTTATTCAGCTGCACTCCTAGTCAGTCAGCCGGAAATATCCAAGTCTGACGCATAGCCCTGGATAAAACTGCCTAGTGCACAGTTCGTTTCACCTAACAGATATCGCTTCCCTAGATCTAGATTAGATGTCCTCGTGGTGTCTATTTTGAGCGACGATAGATGGAATATATTCCCCGAAATGTGGCAAGCTCGTATCTGTACCTACCTAGCGCAGGGTTCCGGTTTTATATTTCATGCGCACAAAATTATCTATGTCAGTGTATACTAATATCTTGCAGGAGAGGCGTTTGACATCAGAGCCAAGTTTATTCACGGGCAACACTTCTCCAATCACAAATTCCCCGAAAACAGCCCGCGTGATGCAAGCCTTGTCTACTGCTCGGCTTGGAATTTTTGTGCAAGCAGAGAAATCAAGGATCTTGATACAGATTAATGATGGATTCCTGGTCCTCGTTCATGCAGGTACCCTTACTGTCCAGAAGATGAAACGTCCGCAAGCCATGTCGCGGAACTGTGGCAACCATGCATATGCAGTCATCATGCCTTTTTTTTTTGTTGTTGTTGTTGCCTGTTTGCAGTTTATATCTACACGAAGGAGAGAAAACGGGGAAGGCAAAAGAAGGCAAAAATGAGGATATTGGTTTGGTTTCACGATTGCTCACCTAAGTAGCCATGACTAGGCAGACCCTGAAAGTGGGAAACAATGGAAAGTCGAGAATTACAAGATAATCCATTCCTTATGTAGAATGATGATGACATGGCGATCTATCGATCGATCGGTTTGGGGTTCTGTCTGATGCTGGCTGATCAGACCAGACGGAATTACAACTACTTACCGGTTTAGGCAATATTCCTCCTTTTTCCTCTTAGGACGCAAAACGGCTAACGCTCTCGCGCGAATCCCACTGAACATGGCACAGCAGCTCAGACCAGCACTTAATTTGCTGTTTAGAATCTACCAGTGGGTGAATCTGCGCATAGTTCACTTGGTGGTATTCTACGATAGTGCCGCTATGTGTACATGCGTACGTAGTATGTAGTACCTAATATGCGGAGTTCGGTATATTTATAGGGAAGATGTATAGTTCTGGACCGATATTCCCATGGACCTCGCCCAATGAGAAATGAAAATGGCGCATGGTTGGTGGCTAAGCCCCATTTCTAGAATCTTTCCACTGCATTAGCGACCAGTACTGCGCAAAGACGATGAGCAAACCACCATGCTTTTAATAGAACTGATAATCTCGTTCTCTACTGCATGATGAACTCTCTCTCTCTCTCTCTATCCAGACTCCGTATTTTGCTCGCCGGTTTGGCGCCGGAGGGGAGGGGGGCAAGCGCCATGAATTTTCAGCCCCCCTGGGCTCGGGGCCAATGAAGCATTTAGCAAGCATTAGCACGTTGATACTATTCCCTACCGGGTGAGCTGGACAAGGGTTATGTGCACAAACTGGGATTAGACGGGGTGTCTATTATAATGCACTTGCTACGTCACTAGTACAAGTTAACCAACTGGCAGTTGGTAATGTGTGATTGCGCTACTACTTCTCGCGACTTCTGGTAAAGGCCCCCAAAACAGAAAGAAAAAGAAAAAAACTAGTATATCCTATATCGACCTAGCCTTCCGATTCTACAGACTGGAGTCAAGCCGGTGGACCAATGGTGCAGATCTTAGGGCAAGTCATCAATCCTTCGACGCAAGTCACCTTATAACAAGACGCTTAAACCAAGATGCATAAGTTAACGGGAAGACTACTTTGCAGCGTACTAAGAAGGGGTTGCCTTAAAACCATACGAGTAACTCTAGCTCTGACTGAGCCTCTCAGCCTATATTCTCCGTACGTACATAGTGCATGCAGAAACTAACCTCGCACAAAATTGATGACCATCGTGCTGTCTATTAATGCTGGACATGAAACGGCGTTGGAGATGGTGGCTGATGTAACTCGAGACCACGCCAGCGCGGATTTAAGCCCTGAAGTCTTCCCCAGCAGGACTACCCTGGCTCCTACTACCTCCCTGGTAACCCTTTTCGACTTGGGGACTGTGTCTCTATTGGCCGTGTGCCTGCAGGCGGCGTGGGGCTGGAATTGGGATGCGTTCGGGCCCGGTTTGAATCATATAAATTCATCTCTCTTGAAGGGCATGGGAAATGCCAAACAGTTAAAAGAAGTCACCGCGCCCACTCCAACGTTGCCACAAGTCTCTCGTTTCTTGTCCTTCTTGATTGCAGGACTAAGTCTTTCTCTCTCTCTCTCTCTCTCTCTCTCTCTCTCTCATATCCTTATCAACAATGGTCAAGGCATCAACCACCCCCAAGGCGGGTTCCCGGACGGACCCCGAAGCAATTGAGCGTCGGCGGATGCAGAACCGTCTCGCACAGCGCAAAAGGCGTAAGTCTCTATGTCTGAAAACAAGAAGAAAAGCCAGCTTCATGCTGAATTCGCGCCAGGCATGAAACGGGCCCAACTGGCCAAAGAAGAAAAAGAAAGACAGCAGCGCCTGCAAGCAGCACAGGCAGTATCGCGACTCACCTTCATGAATGAATCGTATATGTCCAACAGCATGATGGGCCGGTATCACGAGCAAAAGTTCCATCCAGCATTGCAAAATCGTTACTTCACTACCAGCACTCCGCCGCCTTTCGAAGACATCTTCGCCTCCTCTCCATATGTTCCTCCAACTCCCGTGCCGCCCTTCGAGTCTGATCCGTCGTTCTTTGTAGCTGGGTATCCCTCGCCGTCATTATCTGGATATGCACCGTCCACGCCACCGCTCAGTCTGTACACGCCTAGTCTGGTGGGTGGGGACTTGTCAAATATCAGGAGCAGCAGCAGCAGCAGCAGCAACAACAGCAACAGCAACAGCAACATCGATATCGACCCCAGCCTCTTCATGGGCCAGACTCTTGTCGGTGGTGTCTCTTCCTCTGCTCCAGGGCCAGCAAAGTCTCAAGCATTGGATGCCTTTGGCCTCGTGCTAGTGCAGCCAGATCGACATCGCTCAACTTCTCTCCCCTCGCAGTTCTCTCCTCCACGCTCAGTCCCCTCGTTGTCATCACCGCCCCTACCGCCGAGCATGATTCACAGAAAAGGGAGCCACCACAAGACCAACAACCATAACAACTTACATACAAATAATATGAATCCCAACCCCAGCCCCAACCCATCGCACGCCAGCGCGCACACCCACGGCAAAACAGGCCTACACGTGTGCGCCGAACAAGGCAACACGCACGTCGTACAGCTCCTCCTAGGCTACGGCGCGGACATGGACGGCTTAGACGAATACGGACGCACGCCGCTGCACTACGCCGTCCGCAACAACCACACCGACGTGGTGAAACAGCTCGTTGAGCGAGGGGCCAGTATCACCATCACGGACGTTAATGGTATCAGTCCCGTGCATATCGCGGCTGAGGCTGGGTCCGAGGAAATGGTGCAGATGATGATGCCTATGACGATGACCGGGCAGGATATGAATCTGAATCTGAATCTGAATTTGGGTCCGGGTCTGGGTCTGCAGACTGGTCTTGTTACCAGTTCCTAGTTTGATATACTTTTTTCTCCCTGCATGATGACTGGATGGCTAACTATAGTACGTGTATTATATATACATCTATATATATATATATATATAACCTTAACTTTTACTTTCAGCTTGGTTGGTTGGTTGGATGATGCCAGTCACTCGCTTACGAATTTCCTTCTTTCTTTCGATTTGTATATATGAGACTTTGTTTGCTCAATTGAGCTCACTCCAGATGCTGGTTTACATATTTGCAATACCTCATATTAAGTGTAATGACTTCTATTAGCAGTGTAATGTATAGTATATACAGTTCTGAATTTTGTCCTGCGTCCTCGAATTTGGTAATAAGCTTAATGCAACGCCATCTATAACAAGTACCAATGCATGCAGAGCTCCTGGAAGAGAAATAGTAAGCAGATCATTTCTTCCCCTTTCCTTTCTTCTTCTTCCCACCGCCGCCGCCTCCAGCAGTCTGACTTTGACTCTGAACAGCAGGTTGCTGCGGAGCATCAATCATTTCGACATCCTGCCCAGCCCCAGCAGTAACAGGAGGCGCCGCAGCAACAGCCTCGTCAGCACCAATCTTCAACCCGGCAGCCAACTTTCCCAATCCCGATATCAGCCTTCCCACTTCAGCGGCTTTGTTCGTTTTGTATTTCAGACATATGCCCGTGACTGGATTGTATGTTTTGAGTGTGAGGGTTGCGACTGTTGTTGTAGTAGCTGTCGTGGATTCAGAGGTTTCGGTGGTGGCAGGTTTCGATTTCGAAATTTTATTCTTGTTATTCTTATTTCTCGATTGTGATGAGGATGTGGACGAAGGGTAGGAATATTTTGTTGTTATTCGTGTCTGTTTGTAGCATGTTAGCCTATATCAATTACCGTATACCTGGCGGAAGAAACGTACGTTATCAGGATATGCCTCTAATAAGAGCGAGGATTGCTCGAGGAATGCGTTGGGGGTCGGTAGATACGGCATCTTTTTCTTTCTTTCTTCCTTTCTTTCTTTCTTTCTTTCTTTCTTTCTTCTTCCTCTCTTTCGTGCTTTCTCTTCCTGTGTGTGTGTGTGTGTGTGTGTGTGCGCGCGTGCCCAGTCGAATGGTAGCTATTGTGGCCAGCGAATTCGTCGTTTAATCTTGCATCAATGGAAAAGATGGAAAAGCTCTTTTCTTGTATCTGGCGGTGACTGAACGGCGTTGCAGAATGGCGGGTGGTGTGTAGACTGGGCGTGCAAGACGTGAAGCTGCAAAACGGAATGTGCGGGGAGATATTCGAGGTTGCCGCCGGGATCCAATCAGAGTGCGTCTCAGCCTGACAATATCTAGGGGATACATGTACAACTACATCTATAGCAACATTCAAACACGCACGCACATAGGATGTATTATATCCTGGCATAATTCAGTATGTATAGCTAATATACAGCCCTCTGTACATCATCCGTGGCTCGTCGCAGTCCACATGAGAAAATCGTGTATACATAAGATACATCACTTCGCAACAGTGTTGCACCGCACGCAAACCAGCTTCTGCGTGCCTCTCATCTTGGTCGCGCGGAAATTCGTCCCACGACATCGCATGCACCGCAGAACTTCCCCTTCGTCCAGTGCTTGTCCGTTGCGAGAAGTTGCGCTCGTAGCCATGTCGTCGTCGCTGCCGACCGAGGAGGTCATATCGCTGCTCAGAGCGCTGACGGCACTCGACTTCCGGCGAAGCGCGTCGCCGTTATTGTTGCCATCGTCGTCGTAGTCATGACCATGACGCACCGTGGCGGCATCGTTCGGATGTAGCAGTCGTCCGGATCTGATGTTGCGCACAAACTCGGCACTTTTGGTCCAAAAGGCATTACTTTGTCCGCTTTCGATGAACCGAGGGATGTCGAGTATGGGCTGTTCTTTGTCTGTGTTATCCTCGTTCTTGTCCTCGGTTACCGCTTCTGATTCGGATTCATAGCCAGACCCAGACCCAGACCCAGGCTCGGATACAGAGTTCGACTCGTCTTCGACATTCGTGATTTCTATCCTCGCCGGGTCCCCATGCTCGGATTCCTCGTCGGCTATTGAATGTGTGGCCGGGGTTGCGTAGTCAGATTCCGTCTTCGGGGGAGGACTATTGACGGGACTGGAATACCGCGACCGCCGGAGCGCAGACTTGCGCGGAGATGGCGTGCGATTCCGACTGCCGTTGGACGGAGAGTTGATACTCGCTAGTTCAGTGCCGGCCACAGAGCTTCGCCATGCCAATATCCGCTCAGAGGGCGTCCGGGACTCACGCCCGATCGACGAAGCGATACTATGCCGTCCCGAATTCGACCGTCCCAGTAGTTTCGAAGAACTTGGCCGTTTGTTGTAAGCGCAATCCTGTCGGAATACTTTGATTCGCCCGGAATAGTCCGCCGCCAGAATGATATTCCCATCCGGATGGGTTGATCGAGCAAGGTACGCAGGCGAGGCTTTTGTGGCCTTTGCCGCTGTCGGCGTGGTATCTCGTTGATCCTTCTGGTCAAAGCTGACTTTGGATGACCGAGCCGAATCCATTTGACTGACCAGAGTAATGGGCGGTGGGTTGCAGAGATCGTACAAGGGGTCGCCCGAGAACCCCAACAGCTGTTTCGTAGAGGTCGGCGCCATGATGGCGCAAGTGACGATATCCGTGCGCGTTTCTAACTCTTCCAGAGCACGTTTGCCTTCTTTGTCCACTGCCCCCGTCGGCCAGATGTATGTACTTCGATCCTCGCTGCCGCAAATGATATACTTGCCATCGTCGCTAAACGACGCTCGAATCTGGCTGGTGGAATTCTCGTTTCCTCGATATTTCGCCTCTAGGCTCCGGTCCTTGAAATTGTACAATCGAATCCGAGAGTCGTTGCTGGTGATCAGGAGCTTTATATCGCCATTGGGGTTGGCAATCGTGTCGATGCCGGTGATTTTGCTGCCCTTTGCATTCCGCCCTCTCGCCGAGCGCACATGTACCTGCGAATTCGCCTTGAGTCCGTCCGTCTCGTACAGAATGCAGAGCCCATTCAGGCATCCAGCGATGGCGTATTTCCCGTCTGGCGTGAAAGCAACCGACGTAATCATATCACGCACCGTTGCCAAGAATGCTACACTCTTATCAGGGATGCTCCAAAGTCGCAGCTTGGAATCAAGCGAGCCGGCAAGGAAGAATCGATCGTCGCGCGGGTGAAACTGGATCGACGTTACGAAATCGCTGTGTTTGAAACAGCAGAGACATTCCGCCCTGCTCACATGCCACAGGCGAACAGTGCGGTCCATGGATGAAGAGAGTAGAAAATTATTCTGGTTGACTTGTCAGTAAGGTAGAATCCCTTCGCGTCCAAACCGGTCCTACCTTGCTCCAGCTGAGATCTAGTACGCTCCCCGTATGTCCGTGATACTCGCGGATCGGTTTGGTTTTGAAGACCGGCGCAGTCAGTCGCAAACCCTCATCACCTTTGATTTCATTTTCTTCCTGCTCGTGAGCCTCGCGGTCCTCCGTGTTCGTGATGACAGCCCACACGCGGACGATCTTGTCTTGGCCAGCGGCAGCGAGGTATTTGCCATCCTTTGAAAATACCATGGCCCAAATCGCCTTGTTGTTGTTGTTGTTATTATTATTATTATTATTATTATTATTACTGGTTGACTTGGCCGCCGCATCCGGCCCGCTATCGTCATCATCCACGCTGTCAAGCTCCTGCGCTAAGAATACGTGGTCAAAGGCTTTGTGTTTCTTGAAGTGCGCCTTGACTTTGATGTATTTGGGCGGCGGCGGGAATCGCGGGATGAAGCCGACCGGATGCGCAAATATATCGTCCTTGCCGGATTCTCCTCCCACTTGGGACCCGGAGGCATGCGAGTCGTTTGCATCGTCGGGGAACTGGGCCTTTTTTGTGCCGATGATGCGGCTGAGGAACGACACGCCTTTTCTATACGGCAATTAGCAATCCGTCTTTCTTCCGTCATAAATGTATATATGCTTTTGTGTGTCGCTGCGCCCACCTTTTCTCCTTGGCCGCCTTTGTGCTGAGAGGAAACGTCTCGTTGCGATGGCTGATCTGATCCGTTGGACTCAGCCTGCTTCCGTCTGCGCTCGAGTCCTGGCCATGGGAAGTCTGAGATCGTAGCTTGTATGGGATCGACTTTTCCGTCTGAGTTCGTTTCAGGATGTGCTGGCGACAGACATGTCAGTTCCTGATTTCCCTGTGCCCTGCTTCTTGGGAGAGAGATTGCATACATGGGAAAGGGGGTCAATAGCGGCGTTCTCGGTGGGATCAACGAGCTCTCCAGTCACCGGCGCCGTGCGAGATTTGGCAGGTAATGATGGTGAAACCGGCTGCGTGCGCTTGTCTGCCGTCCGCAAGTGTCAGTCTTGCCAATGGATATATATATATATATATATATATATATATATGTATGTATGTCGCGGGACTTGGGCGAGCATACCACTGAGCGCATTGGGTTTCACCCCCCATCCTGGACTCGACAGCCTGGGAGAATTGAGCTGGCTGTTGCTGTTGTTGTTGTTGTTGTTGTTCGCGACAACGTCCCTCCGGCTATCAGATTCGTCGGTCGCGGTCGAAACCTCGGTCATGGTGAACGAATCGATGGCGAGAATGGCACATAGCAACTAGATCGCAATACCGGTGGGGTGAATTAACTAACAACAGCAAGATAATAACAACAATAATACAACAGAGAAGACGTTCATCAGGAAAATCAGACGAGAGGCCGGGGCGGACCGAGTGACATCAACGCTAGGTGAAACTTATCAATCAGTCTGTGGGGCATCTCGCTCTAATACGACGCCTGGAAGTTGCCACACTGGCTGGCACTATCGGATTCGCATGTGCGTGATTTATCTAGCATTTAATATTTAATATTTGATATTAAACTTGTATCTACCACGGCCAAATCAAATGCGCTGCTGAGCACGTGTCGCCGCACACTAACGCTGCCGCCGCGTGGACAGACAAGCTTTCTAGCATCGTATTTCCCCGGTTTGTGCTGGTGATGCCACCTCTCGCGTTCGGCCTCTCTGGCACGGCAAAGGCATGCCGGTTTACGCAGTTTTAGTCTTGCTGCAGCTTCCGAGCGCGGTCTTTGGCAATGTCGCACATCGCCTACCATCGAATAGCAGCCAGCCGATTAGTAATTCCTCTAACCATATACATACATACATACATATATATATATATAATATAATATATACATAAATGCAGACCTGACTGACATACCTCGATGTTATCTCGCACTTCCTGGTCAAAGTTCCCGCGGTCAATGCGCCGCCGCATGTCGACCATGATGACGTCCCGGCCGCGGCCATTCACAAACGTCCTGCCGTCGTTAGAGCCATGCTGGCAGAGTAACGCACTAGATGGGGAAATAAAAAAGGACAAAAAAAAAAAAAAAAAAGGAAAGGAGAAGTGAAAGAAAGGAAGAGAAAAAACATACACATAGCGTAGGCCGGGGTACTTGTCCTCATACTCCTTATTGAGGCTGCTCAGTGCCGACTGCTGTTCGTTTGCCGCGTTGATATTTGCCTGCTCCCTCCTGCTCAGCTCGCTCAGATGCGCTGGCGACGCCGCGCCCAGGCGAGGATGCGCCCCGAGAATGCCAAACAAGGCCTGTTTTGTTTCCGGGTCGCTCGTTGTGGAGAGGGCGGACATCCGGCTATAGATCGCATCGACTAGTGCATCGTAGGACGCAAAGGCAAAGCGCTGGTCGGACAAGATCGGCCGAAGGAGCGCGTGCAGCTCGGGCGACGGCTCAAAGAGGGTGTCGATGGCGCTGAGCTGGTCTGCGACGGGCACCGTCGACAAGGACGCAATGGGGGGCAGCGCCATGTCTGGTTGCCATCTCATATGCTCTGGACTCGGAGGAGGTTGATGCCTGTTTTATACGGCCGCGCGCTCGTCGGAAACTGCCGATAGCAGGCGGAAGGCGCCTTCCTTGCATCACATGACTCTGCATACACAAGAGTCCGAATATTCAAAGAACTACTTCACAGGAGTAGAAGGTATCGACCACCAGCAGCTTCGTGGCTCCAAGCGAAGCGTTCGCCAAGCGATTCACTAGTGAAACACGCGATCGACAGCGCTGTTCGCTCCTTAATTTTCTCCAGACTGGTTAAATAGATACCAAGCAGAGTTTAGTTAGTTAGCACTGAGCAGAACCCCCTTGCTGGATTATGTAAGATGCTTGGAGGCCATCGGCGCTAGGCCCGGAGCGGCAACGGCCGACAAGCTAAAGCGTCTATTTAGTATAAGACTATAAGTAAGTGTTTACTATGTGCGGATTGAGTATAAACTACTCTGTACGATGCACGAACAGAAAGCAGGCCCCTGAAGGTGCTGCATGACAACTCATTGTTGTGCAATGGTCGGTAATGATATAACGTATGTACTCCGTCCAAAAGACAGCTGCTGTGGTTAGGCGCGCGGCCCTCGGGCAATAAGTTCTCTCGAATTGGCGCTATTGACTGGAAAAGCCAATTGGCGTTCGATGCAGACGAACTAGTGATAGTATCCAACCCCTGTGTGAATGAATGAATGAATGAATGAATATATTGCAAATATCATGCGTTTGATTGACTATGACCTGCAGCCGCATCGGAAGCCACCAAAGCGGCCTAGCTCTTCGTAGCCCAACTTCCTTCCTCCCCCTCCCGCAACTTCTTTGATAGGCAAACATACGACGAGATTCTCTGCGCGCCTGTCTTCCTCTTCTCCAATGCGGCACCCGCCATGTCGCTGAATGGGTTAGATGATCCCGCTGTCATCGACGCCTATCAAGCCGCCTTGGCCGAGGCTGGAGGATGGTGAGTTCGCAGTGTGCCAATCGTGTCAATCCCACCCACTGACAATTGCGTCGTGCGTTAGGCTCCTGCTCAAATATGCGTCCAGAGACGAGGTCACCCTGCTCAGTCGAGGCACGGGCGGTGTGCCCGACGTGCGAGCGACGGTCGAGCGATATGAAGACAAATCACCCCTGTACGGCTTTCTACAATATCGACGCCGGAAAGTCGTCCTCAAATACCTCCCGGATGGAATGTCGCGGCTGGTGCAAGGTAAAGCCAACGTCGATCGGGTGGTGGCTGTGAGCAAAAATGCAATGCTAATCTTTTTTTCCCCCCCTCTTCCCAGCCCGGACAACCGTGCAGTTCCAGTCTATTCTCGACAAGTTCTCCCCCCAAGATACCACCTTCGAGTTCAAAGCACCAGGCGACCTCACCGAGAGTGCTCTCTCATCGGCCTGTCTCTTGCATGCGGTGTCCGGATCTATAACCTCTTCCTCCAGCTCTCTGCGTCGCCGTCGATTAATGGAAATCGCTGAAGATGCCGAGGAAGGACCCCCGACCGATTTCGCTCCGGCCGCACCACCTTACATTTTACCGGATGATTCGAATGATAAACGACTCAGTCAGATGTCAGATGCGACAGCTGTCCCTCCTACAAAGAACGAAGACGACTCGCCCATTGCTCCTAGTACTACTACCAGTGTCGCCGACAACGATGCAGATGCCAGAACAGAGACGGCTTCGGTGCATTCCGTGTCGCGCAAAAGATTCCTCGATCAATTCCATCGAGACGCCTCTGAGCGTCGCAGTTCAACTCAGTCGGCACGGCCTACACTTCAGGAGCTAAACTACGCAGCCCCGTACCGCCAGAAAGTGAAGCTGGAACACCGTCCCTCGGTAGACATCAATAATCGCCCACGAACCGCAGGCTCCATGTCGCGCGGCCAGGATCATCGTCCGGTTGCTGCTTTGCCAGCCGGGGTTCGCTCACGCAAGCCAGCTGGAAACCCCAACCGACCAAAATCAACCCACGACGTACCTCCGCCAGTGCCGACTCTAGCTTCTCTCAGAAATGCACCTCCAGTTCCTCTGCTGATCCCTCCGCCTACGTTGTCAATTGCGAAACCGCGGCTGTCACCAGGCGCCAAGTCGATGAATGCGATCCCTTCATCCGGGATGTCTCCGGAGAAGCAACGGTTGATGAAAGCCCTCGAACTTCGCAAAAAACAAATGGAGAAGAAGACTGCGGATCTACAAAAAAAAGAGGGGCAAGCATTAAACGATACGACACGCAACCCTACGGTGCATGAATCTCTAGAAGAGGACAAAGAAAACATGGGCCATTCTCCGGTCACGCAAACTCCTAGCGAGGCCACAGTGACTGAGCCGGAACCATTAGCTATCGCGACGAATGATGAAAAATCCTTGTCGGCGGATATTGCCAAGGCTGATTCTGCGGTAGAAATGGTCGCCATGGCATCGAAGAATATTGGGCCGACTGCGGCGCAGTCAGAGGAGATTCCCAATGGCACAGTGCATGAAAAAGGGATATCTAGCAGCGTTGCAGAAGACACCAACGGTAGCCACGTGGACAACAAAGATCTCCAGCCCCCTCAGCTGGAAGTAGAAACTTTGCCGCAGGAAACTACCAAAGACGATGTGGTAGGCCACAACACTTCAGATACGGGACTGTCTCGGGAAGAAACAGCGGACTTGGAATATACAAGGATCAAGCTACCTGACAGCCCGCAAACCGAACAGGCAGAGACGGCAGCGGAGGCTATCGAAGAATCGGAGACCACGCAGGCCAGCAACGAAAACGGTACCCAGGAACTGAAAGTCCCAGCTATTACAATAGAGCCTGAATTCGAGGCACCCGAAGAAGAAGAAGAAGAAGAAGAAGAAGAAGAAGAAGAAGAAGTCCGCGCGGAGGACATCCCCTTACCGCCGGAGCTTGGGGAGGATCTAGCAGAGGTGCCCACCGCACTAGAACCCGTCTCCACCGCGCAAATGCAACCCCTCCCGCAACACGAAGACGAAAGATCTGAGAAACACAAACGAATTGCTCTGCTGGAGCCAATTCAAGTGCCAACGCCTGACTTCTCCGATGATGAAAACCTCCTCTCGGACGATTCATTGATGGAGGAGCTGACGTCGGCCACCGTCCAGGAGGCCCAGCCCGTGTCAGTGGGCAAGGGCCCCTTATCGCCCGACGGAGAAGCCTGGCAGCAAACACGCTCCGTGTCGAACCCAAACCGACGCCCCAGTGATTTCAGCTCACTCCCTGCCGACACACGATCGATCTCGGCCACGTTCGCTGACGGTAACAACCAGTCGATTAGACCCATGGTCGCCAAAAAGGTCAATGTGTCGTCTGGCATCTCGAAGCGTATCAAGGCGTTGGAGATGTTCTCAAATAATCGCGACAGTGTATCAAGCCCGACAGGGAACCATCCCAATACTACTGCTGCTGCTGCTACAGGTAACGTCGCATCACCGACCGCATCTGCCTTCGAAAAATTCCGCAAGCGTGCGTCAGTTTCATTGAACGGTAATCTTTCATCAACGACTCCTAGTGCTAGGTCGTCTTTCATTTCGACGTCCGACTCCTTTCCCTTGAACCGGAGTGACTCGAGGTCAGTCTCAAAACTGAATACTGTTTCAGTTACTGCCCGCATTGTGCGAGATCCCAGCACTCCTCCGAGTGAATTAAATGCCAACTCTGTCGAGACGAGCGTACTCGGCCTCCAACGAAGCCCTTTAATCGTGAAGCATGATTCTCCCGAAACACAAACGTCAGACCAGATACCATCACACGGTGTGACCGAGCTCCGAAACAGTGCCTTCTCGTCGAGAAGTTCGAGGCGTAATTCAACCGACACGGCTATTGGCGCTCGTTCGGACAGTCGAGCTTCTTCCCGGTCGCGATTTGATGAAAGAGGTAGAGGAGATATTGGGGCGAGTCCTGATGATAAAAAAGATTCCCGTACGTCTCGATTAATGCGACGCATGTCGTCGTTGAGATCCTCGTCGCGCTTGAATCTAATTAGTCCACCTGGAGTAGACAAGCAACAGCTGCCGTCTCCGCACGCAGAGCAGACAGTCCGGCGTCCGCCATCACGGGCCATTGATATTGGCGAGGTCAATGTCCAGTTTCCTGACACGCTACTCTGGAAGCGAAGATATCTTCGGGTTGACGACCAAGGTTACCTCGTCTTGACTCCCGGCAGTATGGATACCGGCGCACGCAACATAGTCAAACGATATCATCTTTCAGAATTCAAAACCCCGTGCTTACCCGATGAAGAAAGACAAGAACTTCCCAACAGTATCCTGCTTGACTTCCGTGACGGCAGCACATTGCAATGTGCTTGCGAGTCCCGGAAGGGGCAGGCTGCTGCATTACAAAGTAAGTTGTATCCTATATTTGAAATTTAATAGGTTGACTAACAAGCAACAGCTCTTGTCGATGCGCATAATACCTATCACCATTAAAATTGAAAAGCCAGGGCGGCTTTTCTTCTACTACTACTGTTTTCCTTCCTAAGGCTGGGTTTGTGTTGGTATGGTATGCATGCATTTACAGTGGTTTATACCCCGGCATCATCGAAAATTTCCTATCTCCTTTCCACACTATTTTCTCTTCATCTTTATCCCTCTCCCTTTCTCTTTTCTTCCATATCTACCTTTGCAGGCAAGTTGACGAGCCATACATAGCATGATTCTCATGAAAACAGCCAGCGTTGCCGCTTAGCGTTGTACAGGTCCCTTTTTTTGTAATCCCTTTCTCTCTCCTTTTATCTCCTTTTTCTGTATCCCCTTACCTTATCATCAGGGTTCTTCAAGCTATCGATATATTTGGTTCAACTATTTTATCCATTTTCTCGACGCTATCTTCCTATTACTCTATCTCCTTATGATTTTTTACTGGTTATTATTTCTTCGTGTACTCTTTTTCATGGGGCATTTTTCATACCGGTCTTTCCCCCCCCCACCCCCTTCTTTTTTTCTCTTGGGTCCATATGTTCAATTCCGGTGCTATTTCAACTTATTTTAGGGCGAGGATAACAGAAGGATACCCTACTCTATAGAGTCCCCATAGATTGATATTCATTTGGTCAGACTAGACTGATCCTTGGTAACAAATGTTTGTGTGTGAAAATAAACATGCAAGGAAAAGATGTGTTTAGCTAAGGATTCTTCTCCTGCCACGCTTCCAAAAGCCGTATAACCTTCGGTGACCATACTTCCTCCCCGGCATCCAGATCCTTATATTCCAAGATATTTTCCGGTTCTAATGTATAATCACCCTGTTTGGAGCGTACCAGTTCGCTCATGAGTGCACAGCTGCCCACGGCTTTGCCTAAATCGTGGGCGAGAGATCGAACATAGAAGCCGGAGGAAACTGTCATGATGATTTTGGCGGCGGGGGGTCTCGGTGCTTCTTCTTCTTTTTCGGCTGGGATGGTAATTGGATCGGATTCTTTTGCTTCGTCTGTCTTTGCCGTGTTATGCTCCTTTTTGACGACGTTTGGCTCTTCTGTCGTCGATTCGGGGTTGAGGTTTTGAGTATCAGTCTTTTGGCGTTTTGTTGCTGCATCATCCTTCACACCTTCACTCGCTTCGTTGAGGATATCAGGCGAGACTTTTCTCTTCTTCGTATCCTCAGCAGCAGTATTAGCTTGTGCGGCCTCAGCCTCCGCTTCCGATGCAACCGGTATAGCAGCCTCCTTATCCAGCATCCTTTCAGCGACCTCTTTTTCCTCCGCCGGCAATTCCTCCTCTGGCCACTTATACTCGTGCGTGCCAGGCTCGTACCACTCCACAATGCGCAAATCATACACCTCGACGGCTGACGACTTGATCGCCATGGGCGGCTCGATGCCTTCTCGCGCATACTCATACAACCTCTTCCCCTGAATCCTCTTGGCCGAGAAAATGGGCGGCCGCTGCATAATCTTCCCGCGGAATTTCTTCATCGCTTCTTCCACAAGCTCGCGCGTAACATGCTCATAGTCAGCCTTGCGCACGATCTTGCCCATGCGATCATACGAATCCGTCTCGGCGCCAAACACGATAATAGTCTCGTACGTCTTGGAGCATTCCAGGAACTTTGAGAGGTGCTTTGTGCCTACTCCAATGCCCGTGATTAGCACGCCGGTGGCCATCGGGTCGAGGGTGCCGCCGTGCCCAATTTTGACATCTGGGTGCAGCAGCTTGCGTCGCTTCTTGCGTGTTTGCCAGTTGCTGTCGCGGCTGCGGCGCGAGGTTTCGTTCTCGAGGTAGCCTTGGAATGTGTCTGAAGGTTTGAAGTGTCGTTGGAGTTTGCGGATTACGTCGGCTGATGTGACGCCTTCAGGCTTGTGGACGGCTGATATCATGTCAATTCCAATTATATATGTATATTATGATTTGATTGGCTTAGCTTACGTAGAATACCCTCATATATCTTCTGTCCTGACATTGTGGTCCGGAACAGCTGCGAGCCGCGAGTGAAGCGTGGGTTGAGAAATCTCATCAAGAGGGCAATATATGATCAGAGAGAAGAGAGAGAGGGAGCGAGCATAAGTCTCTTGTCTGTGTGTCTCGTCTCACAACGCCGATTGTCGCTGCTCGACCAATGTCGTGGACTCGACTCGGGGGTGGCAGGAAAAATGTCAGAGAAGCTTATTTTGCGGTGGATCAAAATCGCAGCCGCGGAAAGAAGTACCCACGGCGAGCGGCATGGCATGCCTTACTGCCTGGAAATAGAATCCCACCCTGCATTCCACGCAGTTTGACTATCTGAATCTATCTATCTATCTATCTTCATTCCGCTAATCCTTTCTTTCCTGCTTCACGAGAACTCCCACAATGCTCCTCATAACGTCATGACGTCCCGCGAAGACCAAGTCCTCAAACCCCGAGATCCCTCGCTCGAAGACGAGAACGAATGGGAAGAGTTCGGCCTGACCGACGTCAAGATCTTGATTCCCGGCAAGTCGCGCTATGCGAACCTGCTAGCAACGTCGCCAGAGAATCCTGTGAGGGTCATTGGCAGTTTGAATGAGGTAGAGGAGGAACAGAGACATCTTGGTATGGTTACGCCGCATCTGCATGAGATCATTTCTCTCCCTGAGCCATCTGATATTTATCATTGACTTCCATGGGCCTGCGCCTTTTCTCCGTTCAACATGCTGACAATCATTCATTTCGACTCTCAGTCCTCGACGACGACTACATCTCGAAGCGAATCGTTATCGAAAACGTGACTCACTACGCCTACGGCCAGCATGCCGATGGCGAGATTGGCGTCTGGGTGGCCGGCCAGGCTGGGTGGTACTCTATCGTACCTGCCAAGGGCTACAGACCGATGCACAATGACATGGTAGAAGCTGTCGATTTGCTTTATTTCCTCGTCGACCGACACCGAAACCACAGACCCAGACGGAAACGTCGAGGCGGAGAGCCTACCTTTGAATACTTATGCGACGAGGTACATCATCTCTCTTTGGACCTCCAAATTTCAATGCTGACCGGGAGGTGATGCGTAGTATGTAAATCATACGCACGGTATTTGCGAGGATGGCGACGATTCGGCGGAAGTATTCTATAAACACCACAGCTTCCTACTTTCGCAAATGGTCCAGGGAAGGGAGGACGTGCAGTGGAACGAAACGGAGATTTTCAATCATCTAGCTAAGAAGTTCCCAGATGAATACGAGCGAGTCTTGTCATTGCAACAACAGCAACAAAAACCAGACGAGGATCGCACTACCGAGAATCATGATGTGCCGGCGAACATGCAAATTGTTAATACCGAAGCCATTTCTAACACTCAGGCAGACACTATATTTGGCATAATAACAGATCTGAAAGAGGCCGGTGCTTTGGCTAAACGCCAACTGAACCTCGACCTTGTTGTTAGCACTCTACGTAATCAGTACGAAATCGAGTCGGAAGAATATGCTAGAGACCTCGTTATCGCCCACTCCGAGCTGGTACTCGAACGTATGGGCCAGGCAGATTTCGACTGGCCTAAGAAGGCTATATTTCGAGAATTAAAGCAGGCTGCTGAAGACAAGGCTGACGTTCGGCAAATAGCCATCACTCCGCTCCGCCCGTGCATGTCGTTGGACGAGGACAGCTCTTCTGAACATGAGGATGGCGACGATGATGATGACCATGATAATAGCCCCCGAGCGCGCAGGCGGCGCATGCGTATGTCTGTGTTGCGCCCGAAACTCACATCAGTATCGACAAAAAAGGCTGGCAAAAAGACGCGTGGCACCACTGCTGTGGATGACGTTGGAGATATTACGCACTTGTCTGAAGACAGCGATGCAGGAGCCGGAGATTTAGAAACTCCCAGCAAGACATCCCGCGGACACAATCTCGTACGCGATCCTCCGCCATCAGCTACCCCAATCAACGGACGTGCTCGATCGATTGCGCTGTCTGACGCAGATTCTACTTCTCTAGTTATTCGAAAGACGCCTCTCCAGGAAACGCATCAGTCTGCCAATCTGTCTGGTCCCGAAGCAGCCAGCAGCGGTCATGACAACAACGGAAATAACAACAACAGCAATAACAGTATTAACATTAACAACAACGGTAGCAGCCACATCGACAACCTCCCAGAAGACGCGTGGGCATGTTCGGTACAAGGATGCGGTAAAGTGATATTGAAAGCCAGCTCGAAGAGATCCAAAGAACTTATCCACGATCATACCCTTACCCATGCCGAGGACACGCAAACCAAACTTAATCTCGTGTTTGCAGAGCAGCGACTGAATGTCAACATTGGCGTTGATCATTTGCTGCGTCGAATTCGCGAGTTTGGAACGCTTGATGGGGTCACGGCGGATGGAAGTGATGTTGCTGCTAAACGAGTTCGGAGATGATTCAAACAACGTTATGGAACCACCATATTACTCTGATCTGACGTGTCAGATCGACTTGCTATGCTTGAGGCATCCATCCACGCTAGAGAATCGGAGCTTGCCAGGGTCGACAACTATAGCAACAGAGCAAGACGAAAGGACCATTCGCAACCGATAGACATGTCCGAAAAACTCTAGAAGACTCGCAAGCAGAGAACTCAAGCCATTCATCACTGACCACAGCGTCCCTTCCTAGTAGTAAACGGCAACATTGGCTAACCCGTTATTTTTGGATTATTGAGATGGTTATAGCATAACCAGAGACGCGATAATGAAATGACTAGAGTAATTATTATGATAGAACATTTTGGTTCATCGCAGATGCGCGATGCACCTAGAACGATGCAATACCCCGTACATGTACAAAGAATAATCAAATCGTTTCACTGACTCCCTAACCTAACGCCGAATTCCCTTTTTTTTTTCCAGGTCCTAAAAAATCCAGAAAAGATTTCTGTTTTCTTCTGTAATATTCTGTAATAGTCAGACTCAAATAGTATTTCTGTCTGTAATTTGTACTATTTCATAGACTGTCTCCTACTCTTCCCAGGCCTCTTCTTCGCTGCTCCTCCAGCTTTCATCTTCTTAGCAGAAAATCCACGTAAATCAGCCGAAGACATAGCATCGCCGGATTTCGCAAATCGTTTCTTCCCGCCAAATCCGAATTTCTCGTTCTTCTTTTGTCGTTTGGAAGATGATGCTCCTCCTGCTCCTCCATTATTGCCGCGTCTATTGTTGCTTTTGTTGTTGCTATCGTCGATTGCGACGTCAAATAGGTCATCGTCATTATCGGTAGGACCGGATGGGTCGGTTTTACGCTCTGTTTGCTCATGTTAGAATTTGAAATTTGAAATGAAAGGGAAGAAAAAGGAGAGAGAGAAGAGAACGCACTTCGTTTCAAACTGTTTATTTTCTCCAATGTCTCCTTCTTCTCCTTGGCGCGCTGCTGCAATTTCGCAACCTGTACCTGTTTACCAAACTTCTTCAAGTCGCGCTGTCGCCGAGCATCTGCAGAAGCTTTTTTCGACGCTGCTTCGTCGTACAACTTCTTCTTAATCTTGGACATGTGTTCGTCCGTCTTTACCATTTCGGCGAAATAGTCCGTGGGCCGGGTGAATTGGACACCTTCCTTTTTCAGCAATCGGCGAGCGTCAATGGCGGCCGATTGGCAGACTTTATAGAACGCTAGTTCGCGGGTAAGGTCGTCGTTTGCGTCGGGCACGTCAATGGGCTCGGTGGATACGAGGGAGTTGTGCTCGGAGAACGCCGTTTTGTCTGTAATGAATGATATGCGCTTGATCGACGTGTTGATGGCGGCGGAGTTGTTGATGGTGAGGCGTTGGTGGGGGATCACGTCTGCGCGCTCGTCGCCGGACAAATCTGAAAGTGGTATATCCTCTTCATCTTCCTCTGCTTCCTCCTCCTCCTCCTCCTCCTCCTCCTCTTCTTCTTCTTCTTCCTCTTCATCCTCGGCTGGTACCTCTACTCCACCCTCCTCGTTATTTTCCTCTGAGGATTCCTCCTGTCTATTGACGTCAACCTCTTTAGCGCCATTGACATTTTCCTGCAATCACGGCCAGTTAGTCTGGGAACGCCAGAAAAATGAGAAATAACTATAAGGCATACCTCCTCATCCTCTTCTGCCGCTGCTTTTTTCTGACTCTTCCTCTTCTCTGCAGCCTTGGCTAGTTTCTTCTGGCGCTCTTTATCGTAGTCTCGGCCTTTTTGGGCGTCGAGGGCTAAGAGCAACTTGCTCTTCTTGACCATTTTTGCTGTCCTCTTTTTTTTTCCCTTTAAACAATCCCAGTCGCTAAACAGTCCAATTCCGTAATCCCAATAGTTAGGAATGAACAAACCCGGGTTAATAATGGCGCAATGTCCAAGGTTGAATAACGGAAAAGGTTGACCGTTCGAGCAATAATTTTTTTGAAGCGCAAAAAGCCCGCCATACCCGATATGGACTGGTAGCGATAACAAACCCACTCTAAACTATAGAAAGACTAGCCCCATCCTTTATAATTGGGGCCAGCCAATCACAACCCAGGCCTCTCTTTATGCGGCAGAAGTACCACGGACCAAATATTCAATCAATAAACGACCTCGCCCTCGAATACTCCTCCGGTCGAGCAATATTGTTGTCAGTCAGCTGCTGGATTGGATTCGATGGTCAGCCGGCCTGTTCAGAGATATACCTAGGTACTACTAGTGCTCTGGGCAGCTGTGTCTGGCGAGTCCGAGGTAGTATTACTACTCGAAGAAAGAGTCACCCTCGATCGATATAATCCATTATCAATGTCAACGGACATTAAAGACTCATCACCAGGGGGTGATGCAGAGTCTCAACTATTGAAACCGCAGGTATGTCATGTCTCATCTTACTTTTGAGTTGAGATATTACTCTCTTCATATGCATACTTGCTATGGCTACTTTCTGCACTGGCCTTCTTCCAATACCTGAAGGGGATAAAGATATGAAAAGGATAATACTCCCCCCCAAAAAAAGACCAAAAATACTAATACAAACCACAGTCAGCATCAGAGTCCTCCACCGAACTCGCCGCTGCCGTTGACGACCTCCTCGACCAACTACAGCACAAATTCGATGGAGTCTCCAGTGAAATCTTTGGCAAGCGTGTGTCCCTCCTTTCTTTCTCTAAACAAACTTCTTGAATCTTTACCGTACTGATGATTAGCAATATTAGTTGACGATATGTCTCGGCGATTAGATGAGCTTGAGGCTTCGCTGAGTACTGCGCAGGAAGAAGCCGGCGTTACGAAGAGTTGAATCGATGTGGATATACAATGTTTTCAGAGGGGCTTAGCAAGAAAAGAGTCTTGCATCTGAAGATAAATATCAAATAAACCGACTGCTAGTTTCGGTTCCAAAGATATTGATTTTATATCATTCTTGTCTTTTCACTACAATATTTCTTTACTATCACACACTCATAATTTCTATACAAGTCAAAAACGAAAATTAAAAAGTAACACCATGTCCATATGAAAACTGCGCAAATTGAGAACAGTCTGCGCTAATTTAATATATATTATGACAAAATTTGTGGAAATTGAACATCTATAGTTCGTCCTTGGTCTCTTCAGTCTCACCTCCCAAAAATTGACGGAGAATGTTGCTGCGAGAAGTCAAATCATCAACCTTCTCAGGAGCAAGACCGCCCTTGGAAAGAATCTTTCCCAAACGAGCAATCTCCTTGGTGACGTAACCCTCGCTCTCCTTCAACTTATCAGTGACCCGGATGTAGTACTGGACATACTGCTCCTGGAGGTTCTTGGCAGTCTTCGTGATCTCTTCCGAGAGCTTAACGAAGCTCTTGGTAGGCACGTACTTGGCAACGAGCGAGTCAAGGGTAGGGATAGTGCCGGCCTTCTCGTCAAGACCGCCGCCGACAACACGGTGGGTTCCGACTTGCTCGTTGATGTACTTGACGAAGACTTCCTCGGAGCGACCACCCTGGTATGTAACCGGCTCAGATGAGCCGGCGGGGAAAAACTTGATGCTTGGGTAGCCCGTGACTCCGAATTCCTTAGCAAGGGACTTGGAGTTCTCGGCCTCGCAGTCAACCTTAGCAATAACGACGTTCTCATCGCGAGCGAAATCGACGGCAAGGTCCTCCCAGGTTGGAGCAAGCTTCTTGCAGTCTATACAATAGACATTCCGTGTCAGTCAGTCAATCAATCAAAAAAAAAAAAAAATAAGAAGGAAAAACAAGACTTACGTCCACACCAAGGAGCAGTGAAAGCAACAAAAACATTCTTATCGGTACCAACAAAGTCTTTGAAAGTTGACTCCGTCAACATCTCAACGCTGCTAGCTGGCTTTTGAACGCTCTTGGGGCGAACACCGGTCTTCTCAGTAACGAAAGCAGTCAAGGCCTCAATGTCCCTACCACCGTCGTACTCTTGGGCCTTAGAGCTCTTGCCATCGAAATATTTGATTGTTGGGAAGCCCTGGATGTTGTATGCCTTTCCTAGATCACGGTGCTCGTCGGCATCCACCTTGGCGATCTGGATCTTGTCGGAGAACGCAAACGCCTGCGCGAGTTCCTCATAGACGGGGGCAAGGTTCTTGCAGTGACCACACCAGGGTGCAAAGAACTCGACCATTGTGAATTTTCCGGAGTTGACGGCGATTTTATCAAAATTGGAGGGAAGCAGGTCAAGAACGGCGGACGCAGCGCTAACAATGCTCACGAAGAGCGCGAGACAGCTCACGATGAAGCTCAAGCGAGCCATGTTGGAATCTGGCGCTCAGCGACCGTAGATAACCTTGTGAAATAAAAAGAAAGACAAGAGCTTCAGCTTCTCTTTTTTGGAAAGGAAAAAAGCAATCAACCTGCGATGCTTGAATCAAAAACACTTGCGCTGTGGTTTGACGGGTCGAAGAAGTTGGGGAAGCTGGCCGTTTCCGCAACGTTGCCTGTACTAGAAATAATTATTAATGCGGCGGCGGCGGATATATGCCGGCAAAACTCCACGTTGTAGTTTATGATTTGCCACCAGAAGAAACCCTAACGTGCATTGACTACCTATATATGCAAAACATATAGGATTCTAAAATATTCTCAACGGCCAACTCTTCTTCTGATGCCATGCGTTTCTTTTTCTTTTTGCTTTTTTTCTTCCTTTCTTTTTCCCCTTCCCTTTTCCCCTTCTGTCATTCACTGTACGTGATATTACGTTACAAATCATAGCCTCAACAATCAAGGCACTTGCGTCGTACACTGTTAGTAAGTGCGAGACAGGGGATAAAGAATACTGGTTTTGAACTGATCAGCGTTGGCCAGCCAGCCATTTGTTGGCATCTTCCCACTGTTTGGCCCCCTTAAAGCTCTTCGGCGCATGCTGAGATGCCGTATAGACCTGTTTCGTGTAATCAGTAGACAAATTCTCGTTTGGGTTTAGTTGCAGGCCTTCTGAACATACCGCATCCCATAAGGTAAAAGCGGTGTCCAAGTTTGCTTCGAAGCTCTCACTATGCTGGAACCACTCCTTGCCCTTAGCCCTAACCTCTTCCCGCGTTTTAGGGGACGACGATTCAGGCTGGTAGAGCAGGTCATCAAGATACGTTCGCACTGCGATACCGAGTCCACAATCATTATCATCAATAAAAGGTAGTCTAGTATCTGTTAGGAAAAATGCCGCTTAGGTCCCGAGGACGAGAAAAGAAAGACTTACTTAAAAGCAAGTGCCGTCAGCCCTTCGTTGCCGATACTTCGATCCACTTCACCGCTCAACAGCATTGAAGTGAGTATTACTTCGATCAACTCTCTTAGAGTTCGTCGTACGGCAGCGACTAATGAACGGAAAGAAAGAAGCTGTCGACTGAGCGGTCCGGAGTAGCCAATGGGCTTATGTTTAAGCTTTCCGATACATGCTACTCGCGAGACTAGGAGATTATACGATTTGTCCTCTTCTATAGATGGCTTAGTACTCAGTCGTCGACAGTAAATTACAAGGAAATTTCGCATACCTGAGCCTCGCATCGGACCGCCAGAGTGATTCGGGAACCAATCGTTAGGACCCAAAACCCCCAGACGCAGCATCTCGACAGCAGTGAAAATTGATTCAAAACTCTGTAGATCGACCGGAGTTTTAGTTGTATCAAGCGTGTTAATGGCCTCGCTAAAGCATCGGCCCCAGTCTGTGAGCTCATGTTTATTGTTCACATAACCACGGAGCTGTAGGAAACCCAAGATAGTCTGATGCACAATCTCGTCTTCCGAGGACAGTGGCTTTGGATAGCAGAACGAGTCAGTAGATAATAGAAATATGATCCATTGCAGTGACGCACCAAAGAGTCTTTAGAAGCAAAAGTCTTCGATACAAATGCTGAGTTCTTCAAGCTTTCTATGGCGAACTTTAACGATGCACGAGAAGTCTAGGTATATTATCAAGGTCAGAAAGAACACTTTAAGCAGAAAGAAAATGCCAAACAAAGGATAACAAACCTGACTGTTAGCCAGCTCGCTGGGCAACTGCTTATGACTGATCCTCCAGGTTCGAAGAACTTCTCTGAGTGACGGTAGAGTTTTAAGATTCATGGTGCGGTCTGTGTTCTCCTCATACCAGAGGCGCACATTAATGACCTTTGTCTGATAGAACCGATGAAGACAATTCGAGAGCAAGCAGATAGCTTGTTCGCGAACTGGCATCAGCAAATCACCGGTGAGATGGCGGTAGACATCAGAATCTTCAACACCAAAGGGCAGTAGCACAGTCAGCTGCCCAGAAGTCAGATAGTTGGGAATATTAGACCCGATGATGCCTCTCGACATGTAATAGTACAGCTCCTCGGGTAAACGCTGACCGATCAGTTCATGCACGTCTGATGGAGCAGTCTCTGGATCCAACGGTCCCACTCGACCTTCGGGATCAGTGATTACATGATGTTTGACCGACATATAAGCTCGTTTATAGCGGTCGAGATACTGGAGGTCCTGCACACGACGGTCCTCTTCAAACTGTGAACATAGAGTGGTGGCATGGCGATTTGCATTGTTGAACATATTGAGTGCATCGCGAATGTTCCATGGCTTCCCTGGGAAAGTGGGATTCTCAAAAGGAGGGAATGTTCGGAGGAACCGAGAGCCTAGCAGGAGCCCAAAGTCCAGAAACTGCTCACTGGTGAGCCGGCCCAATTCTTCCTTGCAGTTCTCCTTTGACACCCAGAAGAATTGATTAGCCTCGAGGTCGAGTTTGAGGATAACTTTCTCAATGTCGAATAGAAGCACATCCGTAGAGCCCCAGACAAAATCTATGAACGGTTTGGGTGCGCTCTCAAAGTACTTGAGCTGTGTTTTTGCATAAGTGAGTCAGCTTGTTTCCACCGCTCCAATGGTAGCGTGTTATATATACCTGGGCGGCAGCGCTATAGGGAGCTACAAAGAAATCGATATTATTCTCATGGAGAATTCGCTGCAGGAATCGGTAAAACTCGACCGGCTCTGGGTTGCCTGTTATTTCAAAAGGAACAAACAAGTCAGCAATCTCATTCACTCCCGTTCGGTTAATCTCGCTGCGCTCACCAGCATTACTAAAAGCATCAACCACCTGATCGGCTTGTTGCTGATCATATAAGTCCCAAGCCTGCTCAAAAGCGCGGGCAGAGTCGGCACGCCTAGACTCATTCCGTACACGGTTCTGTGATTCTTCGACGCCGAATTGGAGACCGTCAAAGACGAAAAGGACGCCAACACCCAGCTCCTTGAGCTCTTTCAGCTCACGTTCGATGTTGGCTCGGAGTGCAAACGGGAAGCCTCCCAGGGCAATCAGAAGCGGCTCGCGAGTAGACGGGTGGTGCAAATGCTGGTGGAGGTAGTAGGTAGCATCGATGCCAATCACGGTTCCTTTTAAGCTGGAAAGAGCAAGGGAATATGCGCGGCTCGCAGCCCAGTCATCTAGTGCACGGATAGCTGGCGTTTGTTAGCATTGGGTTCAGTGGAATTGGCCCTGGCGAGGCGACATACGGGGCATGATGATGATGGTGACGACGGTCAAGCAATAATTATTTCAAAAAAATAAATGCGGGTGCCGCAGAGAGACTCCGGCAGGCCCTAAAATTGAAAACGTGCTACTGCCCGCCGTTGACAGCCGAGGGCCGGATTGACAGAAGCAATGCCGAGTTGCAAGATCAGCTTCCAGGCCGTGTTGGTTGAAGGAAGACCTGGAGGGGGAAACTGTTCCATAGAATGAGGTGACGCTGTTGGACCTTTAGACTTCAGGTAGGTACGCCCAGCACTAATTTGGCAGGAAGAGACGCTCTGCGGGCGCTAGTCCAAAAGGCGTTTAGGGCTGTGCCTCCCTGGGCTTGCTTATATCAGGCTAGCGCAATTGGCCCTACATGCGCACGTGACTATATTTTGGACCGATATTCCGTGCCTCTGATTGGCTCATCGCGGCGATTAAAGTATACAGCTCAAGTGAAGCAGGTTTCGATATTAACCAACATGCAGATGATTTAGTCACATCAATGACATGCCAATGCGAGGTAGACAACCAGCACTGATAAGCAAGGGCTACCAGACCATGCTACTAGTGCGGAGAGCGGCGAGGTCCAGCATGGAGAGAGAAGAGTAACTATCAGCAGTCCCACTCTAATCTCCCACTCCCCGCATACTCATCCTCATCCTCATCTTTATACTCAGAAGACTGAAAAGTGCCTTTTCTTTCGTAACATACATCTGCGATCATTCAATCTCACAGCTATTATCTCTAGCGTTGCGGAAAGAAGTCGATGAAATGGCCACCCCCATCCAACTACCCGTCATCGATATATCGGATCCTCTCAATGCAGCCGTCGGCAAGGACATGTTGGATGCCGCTATCAAATACGGCTTTTTCTATGTGCATGGGAAAGGAAGCGACTTTTCTGCGGCCGAGGTCGATTCTACTTTTGAACTAGTAAGTCCTCATACGCCATGAAATCCCACAAAGCGTGATATATATATCTAGATACTTCCAGGTTAGATAGGCACTAAAATTCTGATAGTCCAAGAAATTCTTTGCCTTGCCAAAGGAGGAGAAAGAAAAGTGCACTATCCGCACAGATGTATGTCATGACCTCTACATCGGTAAATCTTGGTCATCTGAGCAGTGTTGCTTACAATGGATGGCAATAGAATCGAGGATGGTCAGGAATGCACTCAGAGATTCTAGACCCGGAGCATCAACGGGTAAGTGAAGTCATTCACATCGTTCACTTCAAAGAGGAATGCTGTATAGAAAGCTAATTTGAGTTTACCTAGACTGGTGATTTCAAAGAGTATATGCATCTTTTTCTGTTGAGGGAAACTTCTGCTGACACTACTTACGTCTCGACAGAGCACTCAACTTTGGCGAATTCAAAGATGGAAAGCTTCAACAGCCAATTCCCCCTGCGCTTGAGCCTCACGAGGCTGACATCAAGCATTTCACAGAACTGTGCAACAAGACTTGTGCGCGGGTGATGCGATTGCTTGCGCTGGGGTTGGAGGTATCTCTCCCACACACACACACACACACAACTATATACCAGAGAAGAACATTAACATTAACCAGATCAACTCCGAATTCTTCGTAACCCGCCATGACGCCTCCCAAGGCGAAACAGGCTGCGTCCTCCGCTTCCTATACTACCCCTCCATCAACTCACCTGCCTCATCCAGCTACCAACACGACATCGACGTTCGAGCGGGCGCCCACTCCGATTACGGCACAATTACCCTCCTATTCCAACGACCGGGACAGCCGGGTCTCGAGATCCTGACATCTGGCGACACCTGGGCGCCTGTACCCGTATGGCCTGAAGGGGCAACAAGTGCCAAGGATGATTTCCCACCCATCCTGATTAACATAGGTGACATGCTTAGCTTCTGGACAAATGGGCTGCTCAAGTCAACTATTCATCGGGTAGTTTTTCCAATGGCTGAGCGGAACCCATCGTCTTCGTCGGCGAAACCGCAAGATCGGTATAGTGTCGTGTTCTTCTGTCATCCGGTTAATGAATGTAATCTTGTCCCTCCGGTTCCGAGTCCGTTGGTTACAGCTGCGGTAGCAGCAACAGCAACAGGAGGAACGGAAAGTGGTAATAAAGTCGGCTTTGGTGGCGGTGCAGGCTCCCTGAGGGAGAGGAGCTCAATGACCGCTAAGGAGTACTTGGATATGAGACTGTCGGCTACGTATGGACAGCGCGAGGAGGCGTAATTTAGAATTTAGTAGCTTTCTTTTTGAAGCCTTTATACCTGTGATTTAAGAGAGATGTGTCGTTAAACGAATGATAGTTGGTTTAGAGTCCTACAGATTGCTTTAAGGTTCGTTGCTATATAGCAGGTCTCACAAATTGGAATGGTCATAATAATCATGTTGATGAAGAGATAGACAGGGAGACAAGAAGGACTGATGATGACTTATAAACATAAAACATGGCAAGACAGTACATGATAAAGAGAAAAGAAAAATGCATGAATGATAAAAGCACAAACGTCATATGGTATGATATGGTACGTTATAGATGGTATCCAGAACTTGCCAGACACTCGGTGTTAAACACCAAATGATCAAAATGGTATCAGTGACTTGATAAGGAGGAAAATGGGGGAGGTGGCTATGCTACCAGCAATTTGCATGTGCATAGAACAATGAAGATGACGAAACAGAAAGAGGAAACGACATGATAAATGAGGTATCTCCAAGATTTGAAAGACAAACGCCGTGCGGATACCATAAATCCAGCAGGTTGACGAGGAAACATGCCACAACCAAAACCTGTTATGGTATACCCGATATGCCATGTAACAACAACCTCCATAAAAGTAACAAACCAAATGACTCGAATCATTGGAGAAAATGAGTATGTGACATGACTTCTTGTCGCTATGCAAATCCTGAACCGAGCCAGGAAGTCCGATTAGATGCAATTTGAAACATGAGAATGATCATCAACAGCTTGGATTATGGCGTGGTGTGGCACCAATGACGATGCCAAATCCATGCAGCCTTTTGGCATTCCTTGCTGCAGTATTTGGTTCGACGGCAACGTCGGCATTTTGCAAACTGGCGCTGGTAATCTTCCCATTTTCCGCACTCGAAATGGGCACATTGACGGATTCCTCCCCGAGACTCGTCCTTACGACAGAGGTTTCTCATGACAACACATGCCCAGTATTGCATATCCTTGGAATGATGCCGCACTGTAAACTTCTCTACTAGCGGGAAGACATTGAAATTGTCCGGAAGAAGATACTCCTCTTCCTGCTCTTCATCCTCATCGCTGTCCGCTTCGCCTTCGTCGTTTCCTCGCGCAACTTCATTATCATCTGTTCGCCCTCCCGGCAGGAAGGTGCTCTTCTTCGGATCGTTCAACAAATCTAGTTCGCGACCGATCTTGAGCTTGGGGACTAGATGGGTATGTTGGAAGTAGGTTCGTAGGTTGCAGTATTTGGAAACGTAGGCAAGGAGTTGCAAGGCCATTAGGACGTCTTCATCTCGGGGCATTGCCGTCAAAACGCCTTGTGGAGAATTATGGGTACGGAGGAAACTTGAATAGGGGCTGTTAGCTAAAGCGGGAGAATTGGGATTCGCGGGTCCATTTGTTGGCGAGAAACCTAGTGTGCCGGGAGCTTGAGGATTTGTCGTATTGACGAGACTGCCATCAACAGCGGACCGATGGGTGATATTGAATGTTTCAGTATCTTGAGTCCGGGATGGATCAGCCATGGTTAGACCGCGAGATTCATTGTTTTCCAGCATCGATTCGCCGCCATCCACATTGTCAATTTCCATCGAGTTTTGAACGCCTACTATGGGTTCAGATACATCGCCGGCAGGTCCCTCATCAGCCATAGGAGAATCCTCTCCATTGGCGTCGTCCGAGTCGCCAGAACCAGATTGGAGATGGCGCAGCGCTGGCCGCACCACTTGCACAGTTACACTTCGGGTTTGTACGGGGCCGCTAGGCGTGGTAGGCGAATCTGGTTGGGAAGCAAGACCAGCAATTCGAGGGCTAGTCAAACGCATACTGGGAAGGCGGAGAGTGTGCTGAACGGGCCGATGGTGGACCCCGTCGGCAGCATCCATGGTGGGAACAGCAGTTGCTAAAGGTTGCATTGGCCGGATATCGTGCGAATTGTACTGATACCGGGGGTCGTGAGATCTGGGATTATGGATGTCACGACCGAAAGTGGTTCGCTCGGGAGGAGATGTCAACGCTGGCTGAGAGAAAGCGGTGAACTCCACGTCTTGGTTATCATTAGGATTAGCATTATTGTGATTGTGGTGATGATGGCGACGGTGATGGTGGTGGTGGTGATGCGCATGATCATGGCTGAAAGGCTGGGGAATCTGAATGGAAGGTGGAGGCGCCTGTCGACGAGAAGATCGCTGCTCTGAGGTAGCCGAGCGTTCAAAGATGGACGTAGACGAAGAAGACAGGCCTGCCTGGTCTCGGACAAAAGAGGATGAGGCAGTTGATCGTGATGACGACGACCGATCTGCATCGACACGGGCGCGTATTTTGTCAACAACTCGAATGTAGTTATCGAGGATGGTGGCGATGACCGGAACCACGTCGGCCTCGACCACGCGAGTTCGCACGGCCTCAGATCCCCGCACTCCAATATTGACGACGCACTGGAAGGCCAGGCTCCATTTCCACATCTCCATGAGATCCTTACTGCGGCCCTCTTTCAGTATGCATACTAGTCGCTCAATGCCGCCATCGACGGTGAGAATATCCCGGATTCGGGCCGACGAGGTAGTGAGGTAGGCTAGGTGGTTGAGTGAATTGATAAGGGGTAGCGTAGATGTGCAGTCCAAGGCTCGTCGGTCGTACAATGTGGTTGTGATGTTGACCGAGGCCTTGTTCACATTGGGGATGCTGAAGTTGACCTCCCTCATGGTGGCGAGGGATTGTCGTGGGTTCCCGTGCGAATCCAGTTAGGCTGCGTACGGAATGTTGACAATAGTAAAACCGATGACGACGATGGCCAACGACGATAGCTGAGATCGTAAAGAGTCCGACGATGGGTGCAAGTACACTCGAGCGCAGGGCGAAATGGTGATTCACACCGCCCCTGAAGGTATTCTGCGACGGGAGGCAAGTAATGCGAGATGGCACGGGACAGTATCAACAAGGGACGAGGGAAAACGGAAGAGCAGTAAAGAAAAAGAAACACTCGCTACAATGAGAAAGAACCGAATGAAGCCAGATTGGACATTAAGAATAAGCAGATGAAGCAGGGGTTGATGGAAGAGGATGAAGATTGAAGAAGCAGCAGATGGGGGTGGAGAGGAGTTGAGTAAGAAGGCACGCACCGGACTCGGCGAAGGAAAAGTCGATTTTGAGGGGGCGGCGGGTAATTAAGGCAAATAAGGCAGGCAGTCCCAAAATGGTCTCGGCAGGTGGCACTCTGGCCCGCCCGATCGATGTGACTGCCCAGTCAGCCCGCCTGTGATTCGCCTGCTTCTGTCGATTGTGGTATAAATAGTAGATAGAGCAGTTGGGAAAAAAAGAAAAAAAAAAAAAAAGGGAGGGATTACAAATTATATGTCCAGGATGCCTGCCAAGTGAGGACAGAGAATGCAGACAGAAGAAGAAGAGGTGGTGAGAGGTCGGGCCGCCACGATAATACAACAACACAACATTAACGACAAAGTACCACTTCTACGTCCATCTCCTGTGCTAGACAAATAGAAACAACATATCTAACAGGAAGGCCAGTTCGTTTTTATTGGATCTGTGAACGGACAGGTGTGAATGGCTGGAACTTAGCTAGTGCCATGCTAACATGGGATATCGGCACTATCTGCCAGCCAAGGTCGTCAGAACTGGATCTGGCAATGCAGTCATTTGCCCATAAGGTGAATGAATAATTGACTAGGTAAAGATTTCCATCTTTTGTCAGTCTGTGTATTCGACAACCTTCTACTGTTGAGAACCAGAATCTACACGATTAAGTAAGCTGTGTATCCGTACTGTAACCCCCCGCTGTTATCCAATCAGAGCACAGGTAGTATATATCTCCGAAACGGTATTTCCTCTTGTTCAGGTATCATCTGACAGAGTTCCATGGATCGCCCAAGTCATGCAGCAGCCCTCATATTTTCCCCGTATTCCTGATTTATTCTCGATCTCCAGAATGCCACCAGACCAATGACTTCAACTCTCATCGCGATATGCTGCAAATCGAGTAAACAAAACATGGCAAGGACTAAGAGTGTGACTGATATTTTTGGCTGCAGCAGCACGGCAGGATATTAATAAAGCTGCTGCCATTGGCCTGGGGAATCATCGCACTGTCTATCAATAGAAGTAGGCGGCTATTCTGAGCCTATCGTTGGCCTTGCGCTAGTTAGGGTTTGCTGCTTGCAAACACTGCGTTATAAGCAGACATTTCCCGTGTTTCTTTTGCTATTAAAGGAAACTTACTTCGATATAAGTCCCATCACATAAAACCCCGCTCTTGTGGCTAGAGCACTTTTTATATGGACATTCTACTCTGATTCTATTCCAATAGGACTTTCCAACGTTTTATATTTAGAATTGACTAAACAGCTCGTACAATTGAAGTTGCACTGCATATACATAGTCCGTCGACTATTTTAGTTGGTTCAACTTTGTAGTATGTATGCACGACTTGGTAAATTATTCATCGGAGCTAGAACAGTCAGGCTTCTTTTTACTTTTTCTTGACACCATGCTTCCTAATATGTAGTCAGTAACCCATGTTTGATCTGCGTGTTTCATCCCAAAGTCATCACCTGGGTATTGCTTCAGTCAGAACAACCATGAGGACAACTGTTCTATAAGAGATCCACCCAGAATATCTACACGAACGACATAATTTCAAATACCCATTTTTCTCAAGTTAGTTTTCATATCGCTACTCGTAGTATCCAAATTGAAAGGAATCTCCTACGTATATCGAAGTGGACTTTGCGGTGTTAATTGCTTAACTCCGCAGATGTTACCATTGTTATGCTACTATAAACGCGCTAACAGTCGTTTTGACCAGAATGAAACTCGCTCTTCAATCGAATGGTGTTTCAGAACATATCCAGTCATTACAAAAGTCATGGCCGCAGCACGCCCTCTCACTTGGTTGATCACTGGTGCCTCATCCGGCTTCGGCAAGGCGCTTGCCCTAGAAACTCTCAGAGCAGGCTACAAGGTAATCGGCACCACTCGTGATGTTGGAAAGGCAGAAGTCTCATTCCCTGAGTTCAAATCTAAAGGCGGAATCTGGCTAGAGCTGGACCCCGCCCAAAAAGATGCCTATGAACAATTTTCCAAATGCTCTCAAGAACACGATGTCGATGTGCTCGTGAACAATGCAGGATATGCTTTCGTTGGCGGTGTTGAAGATACAAGGTAGGCAGTGATTATAAAAAGCCTGGTTTATCCCTAGCATGTCGACAGGACGCTTACTTATAGATATGTGCAGTGAGGATGAAGTTCGCGATCAAATGGAAGTCAACTTCTACGGGCCTCTCCGCATTGTCCGAGCCTGTCTCCCAACCATGCGTGCAAAAGGCTCTGGCAACATTCTTCTTATTAGCAGTGGCGCTGGGTACGCAGTATTCTCTCTTCCCCAATTTACTTTTCAGACCTCGGTCTTGAAGTTCGACTTACTCAGCAACAGCTTCCTAGCCCTTGCTGGACGATCCACATACGCCGCCAGCAAATTTGCCATTGAGGCTGTCCACGAGTCCCTCGCTCAAGAGGTTAAGACGTTCGGTATCAAAGTCCTTATAGTAGAACCCGGTGCTTTCCGCACGCCCTTCTCGAGCAGGATCATCAATCCAGCTCAGTACAAGGATAGTAACGGCTTCAGTGAAGCCTACAAGGACACTGCGGTTGCGCAGATGGTCGGTTTGACTGCAACTATCAAGAACATTGAAGACTTTGCCAAGGGAGACACAGATAAAGCCGCGAAAGCTATCGTCGGGGCTGTCGTCAACGGTCACGATTATCTTCGGCTGCCGCTGGGGAGCGACTGTGCAAGATCATTGGAGGCCAAAATTGGATGGTTACAGAGTGACTTGGATGCTACTCGGGAGATTGCCACATCGACAGACGTCGATTGAATAGTCAAACCGAGTCAAGTCAAGCAAGTCAAAGAGAACATACAGCATATGAACTATGAGCAGAATTGAAACCCATAAATGCGAATATATTCTTAGTACGTAGTATTAATTGTTACCCCTGAGTGCCCGACTCTTAATTCTTGGATAGCAATAATAGCACACAGTGTTAGATTAAACTACAACGGCCGTTATTAATTTCTATCCATGGATATAAGTCCGTAGTCTACCATAGATGTGGCCGTATAGCCAACCTAGATATCCGATCCCCCGAGTTCATTGTGAAGAAGAGAGTTCCTTTATGTCTTATTATAGGTAACCAATTAATTTAGCCATCATGGTTGTTTTCGTGGCATTGCATTACCTATTTTAGTATATGTCTAGTAAGGTACCATTATCTCCGACGTATTTACAGATTTTAGCTGACATAGAAAGTTGAAACAATCTACATTAATAATTAATAGTTAATTAATTAATCAATTAATTAGTTATCTGCCAAATGGCAAATGCTATAGTTAGTCAAACTACTAATAAACCATAAACCCAGAGCAGCATAGCTATAACTTAAGTATAGTACATCATACGACTACGCCGTACGCAGGTAACAGTAATACGTATACCTCTCGATTGGCGACCCCTGGACCCCTAGACCCAGCGAGCATAAGCTGGGAGGGTTACATACCGAATTGATACAACATTGAGCAAAGTCAGACTGGCTTCAATACACTAATAAATTCTAATAGCAACTAGCTCGTACGGAGTAGGGAGAGCTAATTATGTGAAGCCAGTAATCTACGCTGTAAGCGCCAAGCACTGAAGAAAAAAACACTTGCATAGGGAGAACGGAGCACTCCGCCGTGAACAATCGTAATATTCCAGAATGCAACGGGCGTAATTCTCATCATCAGACTATTAGTTCGTCAGGCGCCTAGTCAGCGTACTAAGTAGCACTACCGCAACTAGCACCAGACAAGGGTTTTGTCCTGATCGCTGGCTTGATGATTGGGGTAAAATGCGCGATAAAAAAGAGGACTATTGGGAGCTATTCCCAATACGGTAAAATAGGATGGATTCGTGGGCTCCACGGACTTGCCGGGCGGCTCCACCAGGCGAAATAACCCAAAGTGGTTGTATCCCGCATGACCGCTAGGCTGCAAGTGGCATGGTGGGGGATTCGCACAGGCCAATTATGCAAGTTATTATATGGCGACGAGTAATTTGACTAGTATTTTATGTTTTTTAACGTGCACGTATCGACCCATTTATTACCTGCTCTGATTCCCCGTAGCGAAAAGCTGCAGATGAGGACAATCTTCAGATCAGTCAGTCATACGACTGTTTTTTCCCTGCAAGACTGGCTAATTTATACGTATACGTATATATAACTAGTTCCTCAACACTCCTGAAATATGCTCTGCATCGGCCTGTGACTGCTACATATTCAATAATGAGTATACAGTACCGCTTTTGCCCCCATGGCAATCAAGGCAATCAATCCTTTCTGCCCCCTCAAACAACGGCTGTGATTGGCGCTCTCCAGCACTTACGGTACACACCGCACATTATGTTTCTCCATGCAGCGCTTTACTAATTGTCTATTAGCGAACCTTCTCCTCATTTCTGACCACGGATACTTGTCGACAAAATGAGGGTCAATTATTGCCAAACATCTCGATATATTTGTTCAATTCCCCGGGTATTGATACGTCTCGTATTACACCGTACTGACATTCCATCGGTGGATACGTGTTACGCCACTTTACCATTGGCTCGCCCCTGCTCACTAAGCAACCGGCTGGCTGGTCATTGCTTTCCTCCTTCCCCCCCCCAAAATTCCCGTCCACAGAGAGAGAGAGAGTGAGAGCCTTGCCTGTCCGTCCACCAACTCCACTCATCGAACCTCTGCTGCGTCCGTTCCATAGACATTCATTTCCTCGTCTTCTAACTGACAGGCACTTTCCTGGCCAACCCCTCCGCTCTCCTCTCCCTCCCTCCTGCCTCCCTCCCTAGCCGCCCTCAGGGTTTCTTTGCTGAACACCATGGCGGCCGAAATGAGCGGCGAGCAGATGCAAGCCAAGATCACAGCAGCTAGGCGCGAAGCCGAGGGGTTGAAGGATAAGATCAAGCGCAGAAAGGATGAGCTCGCCGACACCACGCGTAAGACCTCCCCATCTATTTCTTGACAGGCCGCCTAGGAGAGAGAGCTGTTTTCCGCGTTGTGGTGCGGCTTCTTCCTTAGCTGGCTTTTCGCCCGGGATATCTCACGACGCACATTTGACCAAACATCTCGATCCAGCTTTCGCTAACCTTTCCCGCTCAATGTAGTGCAACAAGTTGCAATGAATAATACCGACGGTCTTCCGCGCATTGGTATGAGACCTCGGCGGACACTCAAGGGCCATTTGGCCAAGATTTACGCCATGCACTGGTCTACGGATCGACGACATTTGGTGTCGGCTTCGCAAGACGGGAAACTCATTATCTGGGACGCTTACACGACAAATAAGGTGCATGCCATTCCCCTACGGTCGTCATGGGTCATGACGTGCGCATACGCTCCCAGCGGTAACTATGTCGCTTGCGGTGGTTTGGACAATATCTGCTCTATTTATAATCTCTCCGCCCGAGAAGGTCCGACCCGTGTCGCACGCGAATTGTCAGGTCACTCGGGCTACCTGTCCTGCTGTCGCTTCATTAACGACCGCCGAATCATTACCTCGTCCGGAGACATGACATGTATGTTGTGGGATATCGAGTCCGGGTCCAAGGTCACCGAATTTGCCGACCATCTTGGCGACGTCATGTCCATCAGCATCAACCCTACCAACCAGAACGTCTTCGTCTCTGGAGCCTGTGATGCCTTTGCCAAACTGTGGGATATCCGCACCGGCAAGGCTGTTCAGACTTTTGCTGGTCACGAGTCCGACATCAACGCAATCCAGTTTTTCCCAGACGGAAATGCTTTTGGTACCGGTTCCGACGACACGTCCTGCCGCCTGTTTGACATTCGTGCGGATCGCGAGCTCAACACTTACCAAGTAAGCCTTGCCCCTTTTGTCTTCTTTCTCTTTCCCCACGAATACACACGCTAACCACCTTATTTCTCACCAGAGCGACCAAGTTTTGTGCGGAATCACATCCGTCGCCTTTTCCGTTTCTGGACGACTGCTGTTTGCTGGTTATGATGATTTCGAGTGCAAGGTATATTTGTTTGGTCACCTCGTGATATGAGCTCATAGCTAATAATTCCAGGTTTGGGATGTCCTTCGTGGGGACAAGGTTGGATCACTAAGTGGTCACGAAAACCGTGTAAGCTGCCTCGGTGTCAGCAACGACGGTATTAGTCTGTGCACTGGATCTTGGGACTCCTTGGTACGTCTGACCACATGTTTACTCTGCTGATGCCTCACTGACGTTATATACAGCTCAAGGTTTGGGCCTGGTAATGAGGGCTGAACTGTCAATTCTTCCTCTATATATCGAACAACACCCCGTATCGATAGTTATGACTTGAAGCCAAAAGCAGTTTGCCTATCTCCTTTTGTACGATACATTTTCTTCTCCATCGACCTTGCGTCAACCCCGACACCGTTGATATTTTCTCACGCAATCATGCATATACAAAATTCTATATGCAAGTATCATTGGCAAAATATTCGTCTGCGCGAAAAATGTTTTCATCTTGGTGGTCTGACGAGGAAACGCCCACTCTACTGATCGGGCGGTAGTGCTTCTTTCTCCTATTTGACTCCTTATACAACGTTAATGGCCCCCACCTTCAGCGACGTCTACTCTTTGGCTATTTCCTTTCATTCACTTTCATGCTGGCTTGTCTTTTTCTTTTCTTTTTCTCCTTGTTTCTTCTTCCTATTTATATACTTTACCGTTGGGAAGTGGAAAGAATAATTTATTACCAGTCAGGCTATGATGGCATTGGTTGGATGTCTTTGTTTGGTTTGTCTATCGACTTCAGCCGGCATCTAGGTATGGTGCTTTTTTATGCTGGATTTTTTGAACCACTTCATTTGGGAATGGTACATCCCTTGTCTGCTTCTTTTTCTTCTCATTTACTTCGTACGTCAGTGCCCGACGTATTCTTTTTGTTTCTTTCTACGATCCCGAAAAGCACGATCTGACTTGGGTTTTTTTTTTTCTTTGTTTCTTCTTTTTCATTGCAAAGTCTTCAACCAATTGTGTATTTTGTGTGTGCTGTGTGGATAGCAGATCAACGATTGATCAAACCTTCAAATTTCATATACTGTCTGGTGGAGGATGGAAGAACTGGGAAGACTGGCTTGCTGATCACTAGATATGTCGCAGGGATATGCTGACTTCCCCTTTTTTTCATTTTCCTTTCTGTTTTATATCCTTATTGCGCTTATTTAGATCAATGCCTATTTCATTCCAATTCAAGTTCCTCAAAAGAGCCGGCCTTGTTACTCCATATTTAGGCTTAGTATTGTACTATGTCTCAATCTGGGAGCTGTACAATGAAGGCGTAGTTAGTTAGAGTTCTTATTATGTATGCATAACTCACGGAGTATCTCCCGGATCTGGCAATCTTAGGCTAGTTTTGTACATTACTCGGGGTTCTGCCCTTTGTTAGACTCACCCCCTCTTTATCACCCCGGAAGATCCGAGGGGTTAAAGATTGGATTTATGTGTCCTCTATCTGAATATGAATTGTACTTCGTGCAATAAACGGCAGTTCTGCTGAAACAGCTAATTATTGAGAATTCTTTGTAGTACTACGTATGATGATGTGATTATCTGCCAAAGCATGTCGCCAATGCAATTAGGCCATCGTGGCTTATTCTTAAGGCTGACTGCATGACCTCATACCTTGCTAACGGTCCAATTAATTGCTACAGATTATATTAATGATCACTGTGTAGTATTTACCTTTAGTTCCTCCGTATTCTTGGATATCGGAGTCTCAGGCAGGCAGGGTAAAGCGCGCTAGAATACGCGAAGAACATCGAGCGGCTTCTAGCGCCGGCCCAGCGGACAAATCACAGCGCCGGAAGCCGAGGGGGGGGTGCGATCTGCAGACTCTGAAACACGCTAAAAAAGGGCCTGAAACGGGGATGGTTGGTTGGTGCCTGGGGCATCTCACCTTACTACCTCAGGAATCTCACAGCCTTAGTCCTCGATGAAACAACAGATGCAACACCTGCAGCACGCCTAGCATTTTACGGATGACGAGAGGAAGAGAACAATTGGGCCTTGGCCGACATGAAGACCAACCCAAGCTCAAAGCCGGCTCAGCTTAGGCACAGCCCTCGGAGCGAGAACGAGAGGATTAGGGTTGCTAGCCCTTGCGATCGGCTCGAGCATTTGCTTAGTCGAGCATAGAGCACGAAGCTTAGCGTGGCGATGCATTGCCTGCACAATCTGAAACATCGTCCAACAACCCTAACAGGCTTAGAAGGGGCATTATTTCGTCAGCTCAGCCCACCGACCACGTTTTGTCTTGCTGAGAAGGACAGACCCGCACCTCGTGACTTCCCGTCTTGAAGTTCCCGAGTAAACTCTGGTTCTTTCCCACCAACCAAACTACAAAAGGGGACCGTGTTCTCTCGTTGCTCCGTACTAATTTTTTTTTTCCCCTTTTCTTCTTCAATATGTCCTCTGCCCAAGACGAATTCAACCGCCTCATCCAGGCCAACAAGGATACAGTGCGCGGCCATCCCGAAGACCGCAGCGACTCCCCCGCCTCCGAAGGAGATCACACTACTACCGCCGCTGAAGACCAGTACGAACTCTCTGACGCCGACTCCGATTACGCTGATTATCACCGCGAAACATCCAAGAAAGGCGGCTCAATGGTTTCTCGCACCGCTGCATACACCGTCCCCTCGACGCTGTTCGACGCCAACACCGGCCCAAAGGGTGTCATTGCCGATGCGCAGTCGTTCGAGCGCGCCCGCAAGAAGTCTTTCCGTCGCACGCTGCTGAGTGCTGCCGGTCTAGACTCGAACTCGAAGCTATTCGGGGCCAACAATGGCATTACTGGCAACAACATCTCGCGAGACCAGGCCTCGTCTCAGAGCAGCAGTTCGGACGAAGACGAGGAGTTTATGCGTCGATGGCGGGAATCGCGTCTGCAGGAATTGCAAGACCGCAGCCAGCGCCGGCCAAGTCCAAGCAAACGCTTGTATGGCAGGGTAGACACGGTGGATGCGGAGGGGTATTTGAATGCCATTGAGCGGGTTGCGTCTGATACTGTGGTTGTTGTTTGCATCTATGATCCGGAGGTACGCTTCGTTCTTCCCTTTTTTCGTCTTTCTTTCGATACAAAATTTACTGATCTGATTGCAGTCATCACTTAGCGCCCAGGTTGAGGATGCCATTGAAGTCATTGCGCGCAAACAGAGCACTACACGCTTCATCAAACTGCATCACGAAATTGCTGAGATGAGTCATATCGACGCACCGGCCTTATTGGCTTACAAGGCTGGCGACGTGATTAGCACAATAGTCGATATTCCGCGACAGATCCCTCGCGGAAGCGTGATTACATCTACTAGTATTGAGAATTTGCTAAACCAGTATGTTTTTCTTTTCCCATGCGCAATCTATTCTGGAATCTTGCTAACGAGGATGTTGCAGGAACCGCGTTTTTTAGAAATGGCTCGTCTGATTTTGATTTCTGTCGAATGCTTGCATGAACTTATACCAACCATACTACACCGTTATTCGCCACTTTTAATCAACAAAATGACTACTGGCAGCCGGCTCTATCAGTTGTCACTCCATTCTTATACTCATTTTCTTTTCTTGTGACCATATTGCAAATACCTCTCTGTTAATCTTTTTCTCCTTTATAAGAAAAAATTGATCGATGATCTCACTTTGACATTCTCGACTCGTCTCCTTTGTCTATTTAATGCCCTTTCCTATATATGCATGTATGTATACGTTGAGATATCCCATCCTATTTAATACATTTTTGTTGTTTTTCACTGGGAGAAGGAGAGTTTAATGTTTTGTATCTTATACCTTACGGAGGGAGGCTCTTGTTTTGTGATGAATTCTGACTAGAAAAGCAAAGTTTCTTACCTACTGGATAATAATCATTTATAACATTCTATAATCCCCGTATTCACGGCCAGAGAGAAAAAAAAAAGTCATTGATCGATATTTTCCTACCCAGTGTCCCCAACTAGGTAGCTCGTAGTCTTGATATGAGACTGAGAACTGCGCTAAACTAAATTAAACTAATTGTATTCGTTGCATTGAATTGCACTGCATTTCATCCATTCCATTTCCATTGACTGGAGGAGAACAAGACGTGAAGAAAGGGGGCAAAAATAAAGATATCATGATTGAAAGAAAATGAATTGGAAAAAATAAGAAAAGCCGCTTCTCGTTATCATATCGTATCGTTCTTGCTCAGAGATGGCGAGATGAGATAGACAGATACTTCCCGATTTCAAGCAGCGCCTTTCTGATGTACAAAGTCCCAGAGCATTTTGATCAGTGCGTCGGGCAGTGTGTACAGATCGACGTGGAATTCGCCTTCTGTAGCGGGAAGGTTAGTCAGGTCTATCAATCCATTGGAAAAAGCGAAGAGAAGGGACGCACGCTCAACATCGTTCACTGTATACGAGTCGGGAGCCTTGTTGTCGTGTACCATCTGCACTACCTGGAGTAAATCGTCTTCACCGAGTCTCTGCAGTCCGTCGGCGAGTTTGTCCATGTCGATCTGTACACAACTTTAGTATGTGGGATTATGACAGAAGCAACGATGTATACGCACGTTCTTCTCGGTTTTCTTCTTCTTCTTAACGCTTTCCTCGCCGGTAGCTCCTCGCTTCGACTTGACGCCGTTTTCCTCGCCAGGGACGGGCCCGGACTCTCGCAATTTCTCAAGAAGAGCTGGTTTGGGGTGCTTGAAGGTCTGTAAGGACATATTTGTTAGTGTCTCTCTCTTCTTTTATATTGTCAATTCAGAACTTCGGATTGGGAGGAACGAACAATTGTGTGCTTCGACTCGTAGCGGGATTGCTGGAAGTTGAGATCGTGTGAAATCGTGTGTTCCTTGTCGGCAACGAATCCAATCTGCATATCGAACTCACCCCATCCTTCTTCCTGAATACGGAATGGAGCATTCTTGATAGCTGGAGGATTCAAGTCAGTCAATGGCTCTGACAAGATGAGACAAGACGGGAGGGAATACTCTGAGTTGCGCGCGCGCCGAAACTGGGATGGAGACGGTAGATCACTTTGTCAAATACGGTGGCTGGCACTTCCTCGCCATGCTCGTTCAGGAGGTAGACCTCAATGGACCATGATCGAAGAGGGAATCCTTCCACGCCTGAATCTCGGCCCTGGCTGTATTGCCATGTGTCAGTACAGCCCAGAGGATTCTGATATTGTCAAGGAATGCACAGTGGAATGCAAGACAGATTGCATGACGGGTAAATATAAACCACAGCATGTATGGAGCGAGGTGGGGGAGGACACACATGATGCTCTGTTCGGTCACGAGTTTGACTGTCCGCTTGACCTGCATAGATAGGTTGACAGATTAGCGCTGAGCTTAGTATGGAGATAACGAGCAGAGTAGAAGAGAAAGAAACAATAATAATAAAGACAGTGTCATAATATAATCAAGTCATTATGCACATAAAGTGAGCAGAAACAAGGTGAGGCACAGACAAGCGCACACTGCATGAACGTGCTACATGCATGCAATACTACCAAAGCACATAGCCAATGAACCACAAACGACATACATCAGGCATTTTGCACAGCAGACAGGGTTGCTATGTGAGAGGGACGAGAAAAGAGAAGTCGTGAGCTCTGTCTGGTGAAGCTCCTCCAGGAATGACTTTGAGACTGCTCAAGAGCTGTCTGTCGCACTGGGGATTTAAGATTTAGCGATAGATCTGGGGAAGTGCTGCAGTAGAGGTAAGGAATGGAGTAATCTCTGTGCGTGTGCCGCAGAGAACAGAGGAACTGCAGAGAACAGTAAGGATAGGAAGTGCTGTGCAAGCATCTGTCGCGAAGTTGGAGAAGTTAGCGCCAGAGGCAGAGTTGGTGTTGCGCTAGCGGGAAAGCTTGTGGTGGGGTCTGCGCGCCCCACCAATCAGCAGCTCGCTACTCGGTCTCTAGTATCTACAGCATGCATTTAAAGAGGCTTACACAAGGAATTAACCAAGTATGTGCATTGTGTGTTTCTGTGTATATCAATCCTGATGCTCTACCATAATCTACCACGACGCCCATCAATGGCAGCACGTCTGCCTCGCCATTGATCCTTTCCTGGCTTTTGCCAGGAGCACATTCATGTTATCCACGGTATCTTCATTCGCACCGGAGCATCGAATCGATGTGTTGTGTGTTGAAAACAAGGGGATGGATAGGTAAATCGATAACCGGGGGAGAGAGCGGGACTCTGAGCTGGGAAAGAATCCGTGTTGACCAGGGGAAAACGGGGGGTGAGGCGCAGACAACGACACCTTTTTGGGTAGACTGCGCAGTGTCAATATAAAACTCATGTTGTTGGTCTAAGCTTCTTGGGAAAAGAGTTTCTCGTTCTCTTGCTGGGCCTTGATGAAGGCATCCTTGAAGAGGTTGGCGTCTAGATAGAGTCAGATTAGACATTGGTGCTTTACACTCGATAAACATCTTCAGACTTACTTTCGCTGTTGGCGAAACGAATGGCTAAGGTCTGAGCCTCAGGCTCGCCTTCGCTGACATCCGCAGCGGCATTCCACACCCAGCTACGGTCACTGCCGACGTTTGGAGACAGCTTCATGTCGGGGACAACTACGACGATTAGTCTCTGAATTCTAGACGGAAAAAAAAAAAAAAAAATAAAAAATAAAAAATAAAAAAAAAAGAGGCGGAAACATACTGTAGTGGTTGGCGCAGACCTTGAGGGTCTTATCTCGGCGCATAACCAAGCGGGTCTTCTGGTTCTCCTTGTGCTTCAAAAGTCGGACATCGCCAGTACCGCGCTCCTTCCACTCGCGAGATTCACGGTCAAACTTGAACAGCTTCGCACGCATCTTAAACACTTGCTCCTCTAGCTCCTCATTGGTCTTGGTCTCGACTTTCTCGGTGAGGTGGATGACGGGCTCGAATTCCACTTCCGGAGACTCGGGTGCTTCTTCCTGTATATGAGAGATGTGGTTAGAACAGAGCCGGAGAAAATTGCCCCGCATATCATATTAAGATATTGAAGCTAGAAGCGTGCGTAAGAAAGAAGGAGAGAGGAAAGCAAGTATCAACTCACCTCGTCTTCAGCCTTCTGAGCCTTGGATGAACCAGATGGCTCACCAGCATCACCGGCCTCTTCCTTCTTCTCCTTCTTGGGACCGCCACCGAACATGGAGAAGACGCTATCGGCGGTCTTGGAGGCCGTGTCGGCAGCCTTCTCAGTGACCGACTTCTCCTCGCCCTCAGTGCTCTCGACTGGCTTCTCAGCGGCAGGGGCAGGGGTGGTGGTCTCCTCCGTAGAGGCGGTGGTGGGGTCGGGCTTGGGCTCGGTAGCGTCAGACATTTTCGTGGGCTGTTGAAATGGTTCCTGTGGTATAAAAGGAGAAAGAGGATGAGAGGGGCTTCTTTCGTTGCAGGCAGGGACAGAAAGAAGAGGGATGGGGGGAGTGATATATGGTGATCGGAGGTTGAGTCTGCTATAGGGAAATTTTTTGTGTTGGAGGGACCTCAGTTTGCTGGATGTTTTGGTTGCTTTCCCCCGCCGCAGCAAACAGGGCGCTTACCGTACGTACCATACATACCACACGCACCATACGCACCATACGGCTAAACTGGGCCTGGCCTGGCGCATGGTCTCAATACCGTACCGCGCCGATACATCGATGCATCGATACATACATACATATTGCATGCAGGAGAACCCGCCACTTTTCTGCGCGCTAAATAAGCGGCGCACTCAATCTTGTTTTGTCAACGCATAGACTGCCATGCGTTGGAGTGTCCATACTATTTAGACATTGATATGTTTCATATAAATACAATATACATACATACGTATATATATATATATATATGTATGTATGTATAGCCATTCTACTATTCCCATTGTCGGCGCCTTCCGCAGCCCTTCCCCTTCGGACCCCGCATGGATTTCTAGGTTCGACTTAGCAATGCTAGCATAACCACTTACCACCAGCGCCAGCCATACGCCTCGTCGAAAGATGGCTCTGGTGGGACTTGTTTCTTGTCCCTGATTAAGCCATGGACACCCTCTATAAAGGCGGCGGGCGTTCGTCGTGGGCTTCCGTCTCTTCCTCCAACTCAACTTCCTCTGAACTCTGAGAATGCCTAACTTCGAAATCGCCATCGTTGGCGCCGGAATCGCCGGCGTCACGCTGGCCATTGCCCTGCACTACCGCGGCATCAATGTCACCATCTACGAATCCGCGCGTGCCTTTGGCGAAATCGGCGCCGGCGTCGCATTCGGTCCCAATGCCGTGCAGGCCATGAGAATCTGCCACGAGGGCGTGGAACAGGCATTCCAGAGAGTGCGCACGCGCAACATATGGCCATCCAAGGAGAAAGTTTGGTTCGATTATGTCGATGCATACGGCCAAGGAGAACCCAAGATCGAGTTTACCGTTTCCAACGGCATGGGCCAGAGCGGCGTGCATCGCGCTATATTCCTGGAACAACTCGTCAAACTTCTTCCAGAGGGGATCGCCAAGTTTAGTAAACGGGTATCTAGTATCGAAGAGAATGGCGCAGACAAAAAGGTCGTGATTCATTTCACCGACGGCACCTCCGCCGAGGCCGATGCCGTGGTTGGCTGTGATGGAATCAAGTCCGCTGTAAGACGGCACGTCGTTGGCGAGGATAGTCCGTCAGCTTGGCCTGGGTATACAGGCAAATATGCCTATCGGGCGTTGGTTCCAATGAGCGATGCCATTGAAGCCGTTGGCAAAGAAATCGCCGAAAACGCTTTTATGCATGTAAGTCTACAACTACTACTACCGCTCTGCTTCTTCACACAACAGGCATGAATTGACATTGGAGGGAAAAAAAACCTAAGATGGGACCCGACGGACACATGTTGACTTTCCCTGTCAACCACGGCGCATTAGTGAACCTGGTGGCATTCAAAACATCCTCGGAAGGTTGGGACGATCCCTTGCGAATGACCAAGCCTGCTCGTCAAGAAGATCTCTTGCGCGACTTTGCGGGTTACAAGCCTTATATCCAGAAGCTGATCAAACTTACTAAGCCTGAGATGGACATTGTATGCTCTTTTCTTTCCGGCTATTTGTATCATTACATTGCTAACCAGTGTACAAATAAACATAGTGGGCCATATACGACCTTGGAGACCACCCAGTGTCCACTTTCTACAAAGGCCGGGTATGCTTACTCGGCGACGCTGCGCACGCAACTTCGCCTCACCACGGTGCCGGCGGCGGATTCTGTATTGAAGACAGTGCCGTCCTAGCCACACTACTACTAGCAGCAGTTGAAACTCGCGCCGACAAGGAAGGGAAAGATATCCCATTCGAATCTGTTTTTGCTGCATTCGACGCCTCGCGTCGTGAACGTTCTCAGTGGTTGGTGCAGAGTAGTCGATTCATTGGTGATTGCTACCAGTGGCGTGCCGAGGGTGTGGACAGGGATTTTGTCCGCATGGAGGAGGAGATTAATCGGCGAGTAGGGATTGTATCTACGTTTGATGTGATGGATGCGTGTGAAAAGGCCAAGGAGGATTTGGCGCGAAGATTACGTACCTAGGCAATAGCCCTATGGGTTTGCTTATATATTTACAGATATATACCAAATAGCCCTGCACAAATAGCATACCTTGACTAGATCACAATAAGGTGCAACTTACCTGGATACAGTCTAGGAACAGGCATTTTTAATATGAAACAGTTGTTGAATGAAGATTCTGTCTTCTTGCGGTGTCCTTGAGAACACAACCCAGAAACAATTAAACCACAACCGGTGAAATCATAGAAAAACGCATAAAAGTGGAGAGAGAAAGTAAAGCAAAACGCCTGATAGTGGTTTCGTTCTCTCGTAGAAAATAAAGATTCCCACCCAAGTTCCATACCTCCATACCTCCATAATCCATAAAGTATTATCCTTCAAAACAACAGAATAGAAAAATAAAAAGGAAGAAAAGGTAAGAGAAAAGAAAATCCAAACCCAATTTCGCCCGTTACCAGTTTGTTCGTTAGTCCTTCATTACATTCGTTTATTCTCGGGGTCGCTGCAAGAGCTTTGTGAAACGCCTCAAGTTCTGTTCGGTGAGTTTCTTTGCTGACTTTTGCGCTCGAACTAGGAAGCTCGAAGGAGAAGAACAGGAAGGCATGGCTATGGCATCTTGAATGGAGTTTTTGAGGATGTGCAAATCGTTTGATCGAGTACCCCAAAAACTTCGGGTTGCGTTGATAATGTCACGGGCTTCTTTGTTCAAAGCGATGCTCTGCTTGTGTATCTTCTCTAGCACCGTGGTAGCCACTTTGAACTGTTGTGACGTGCTGCGTGTGATGATATTGCTTATTTCTTTTGAGCGTGTTATGATGGCGTCAAGACTGGCCTTGAACTGCCTATCATCCACGCGAAGCGACTCGGCTTCCTGTCGTATAGTGTGCGACTTTTTGACCACATCACCCATCCATACTTGTACGTCCGTAGACAGACGGGCATATATATCTGAGAGGCCAGTTTGGGCACTGTCCAAATCTCTCCTAATCTGTGACGATACCGTTTGCGCCGCTCGTTTCCAGTTCTCAATCTTCAGCCACGGCGTACCAAAATCGACCTCAAGACTCTGCTCTCGTGGCTGCCTAGACCTTGAGGACACGCTTACGTTGACAAGACCGTATGCATCCTCGCGATTCAGTCGGAGAGTATAGACACCGTCAAACAGCTTTGCAAGTTCGTAGGGCAGAGAGACACTCCCTCGTGTCACCTTGATATCAAACCTATTGTTCTTCGTTGCCACTGGCTGCTTGATAATAACATGGCAATCACCAATTACCTGGAACTGAAAGGTATCATCATTCTTGGCCTGCCGATCTGTAAGTAGCTGCGAAATTTCCGAAAAGTCACCCATATTCGAGACTGTCAAGTCGGTAATTTGGTCTTTCAATGAAAGTGAAGTCAGTGAGTTAGTGGACGGCATGATAGCTGTGGCCATTGTAGTACTTGGAACGAGGTTTGCATCCGATGATGAAGACATGGCGAATCGTGCATAGAATTGTAGAAGAAATATAGCTATAGCGCGGAAAACGGTATATCCTAGCGAAACCGAGATCGCCAAAACAATAGACAGCATTACAAGACGTAGCCAAGGTGCAAAATCTGGGGCACGCCCACTACAAGCCAAGATACTGGCAGTCGGGTACTTCTCAGCATCGTAGAATGCCTTTGACTCAAGAGGTTTCGTAAGCGGGAGAGTCGTGGAGCTAGAAGGCTGCTTTTTGGGATGTAATTCCGAAAGCGAGGCAAGATGCCGGTTTAGTTGGCTGGGTGTTATCGATTCAAATGTCTTGACATCGATGGGATAGCGTTCTACAACGACACTCTCCCCTGTGAGAGAACGGCGAGATTCTAGGCAGAGATGCAGGCCCTGGTGATCAAAAGGAAACAAGCGCTGACCATTCTTCTTCCAAAGGGGTTCCTCGGATATGATCAGTATTGGGATGCCATGAGTCTTCATGAAGCTCTGGGCGACGTGCCTCGCACGCACATTGTCTTCACTATCCCGGTCCGAGATAAGGAAAATAGAGAGATCTGGAAGGGTCCATTCATTTTCTGAACCAATCTGATGCTCAAATCCGGTCCAAACTGATGTGCAAGATGGACGATTTTTGAAATGGAGTGTAATGTTGCTGTGGTTGAGGGTTCGGCGTGCCTCCGAAACAGCATCAAGACATTCATCAACGATTAACTGCACGTGAATGGGAAGAAGCTCTGCATAGTTTGGCGTAGCTCCAACTCCAAATGAGGTGGGCACAACATGGTACCGAGAAGACTCCGTTGAGCTGCTCCCTAAGCTATGGGTCGAGCTCGAGACCAGAACGTCGCCAATCTTGTCGAGAATTATGTTACGAAATTCGGGATTGCCCATATAAAGAACGCGGAATGGTTTGTCCAAGTCTAGTCCCTGTTTAGTCATGGTCTGTTGCACAGTGATGGCGAGTTGACAGTCATCGGCAAGATTCATTGGAAGCTGGTCTTTAAGAATAGCCGTTTCCTGGTCATCTAGAATGCTGATAGTGTGCTTGAGCTCGACCCTCTGCACTTCAGGCCATTTCTCAGGCTCCGAGAATTCAATGGACTCGGATGGATGGAACAAAGTCGTCCTGGTCGTGAGGCTGCTGTCATCTACAGCCGGGAGGTCAAAATCGCGAGCGAAAAGCGGACGCGGAAGCATTTGTGAGTCTGAAACAGCACTCTCTGCATCATTATCCTCGTCGTCGTCCTCTGCACCATAGTTATCGACAACGTCGTCTTCATTGGCATCGTTATCGTCTGTGTAGCTGCTGCTAGCTCGGTCATCAAGGCTAGCAACGTCATCTGGGCCGTTCTGGTCGATTAGGGAGGCTATATCGGTCTGTTCGGAGCGTGTTTCGTCTTCCGAGTGAATATCGGAAGTGCTCAGCGTAGCCCAGCTCTCACTCAGAGCGCTGGAGGAGCGTTCCGGCTGTAGAGGGCTGGTCGACATGGTCGGACGAGACTGGGAGAGCCACTCTTCGACGGAGCGGCTCAGCGGAGGAAAGGTCGGATACTGCAGCCTGGGAGTTGTGCTAGGATCGAAACGACTGTTCGACTCCTGATCATTAGCCATGGTGTCGACAATGTGATGGTGGTTATGATGGGAGCAGCGCTGGCTGCTCGGTATGATTTGCAATCAGTCTATACTGAGCAGGCAACGACGGTTGAGATGAGCGGGATCGAGAAGGCAGATCAGAGATGGACAACAGTCGAATGAGGCTTGAGTCAACGCTTTGGGATATAAGTGCTGCATAGAGAGAGAACGACAGGCAGGCAGCAGCAGTTGATGATGGGGACTATCGATAAGCAAGAGAGGGGTCGGTACTAACTAACGGTTGACTAGTCCGGATCAACTAGCTAAGCCGGTGCCCAATATCGACTGGATCAGCTTGGCGGGTTGGGGGTCGTGGGATGCTTGGACAGTACATACAGAGGCAGACCTGGAGACCCCAGAAGAAATATTGAGCAGTTTTCTTCGTGCTGGCAGCAGCGTTCTCTCGATCCACGAAGGGTTGAAGCATGAACGGGAGTGAGCGGGGCGCATGACGAGGATACGCACTAGTTAGCGGTGCCTTAGGCCATTACGTCGATGCATGCACGTGTCGATACCAAACATAACGCTCTACAGCCCGAAGGTGCCCATGCAGTGCACATACCTGGTGCTTCTATTGCGAACATATGCATAGGACATGAAGATTTTATTTATTATTCAACCCTGCCCTGTACAAGTGCATACGGTTGGTTGCTGTCTTCTGCACCGATAAGCCTTACAATAGCTATCTGCCGCTATTCCGTATCGGGGATAGCCGCATGTCACGAGCCGGGTCTGTAAAATGCAGTGTGATTGGCTGCTACCGAATGCGCACTATACCCATAACAGCCTAGTGCTGATCTAAGCTTCTCCGACGGATTTATCTCCGAGCCCGACTAGTTTTGGTTGCCCATAGAAAATATCGATAATCATAGGGGGTGGGTTATTTGGCTGTATTCGAGTCATATCTCTGCGGGAGCCTTCAATGATCATGTTCTCCCCCATCCATGAATGAAAATAACCAGCGGTTTCAGGTAATCTGGCTGTATAGTTACGATATTACTGCCTATATAGTATTTACAATACTACCCAGTGAGGGCTTCTTAGCTGCTTACGTGCAGACGACTTGAAGAACCATGAAACAACTCCGTAACAATAAATAATACTAGTAGTCTCACTTTTGATTGATCAGATAACGGGAACGTCCATGCGGAGTGCTCCGTACTCCGTCTCAAGGCACACTAAAATCCACTAAAGATTTTTAGCCTCGGGCGAAAGCAGAAATAAATCCGCACGTTTAATGGCAAAACATATTTCTATTTTGCGCAGTCCGAAGAGAGACTCTGTGACAGACCATGCATTCCCTTTCAAGAGACACCCAGCACAACTATGCAGAGCTTCAGGACAAAACTCGGTGGCATCCGGCACAGAGACGTAGAGAAAGGAATCACGTCTCTCGATCCGCAATATCTCGTCAAATGGGCTCCGAACGACCCCTTGAACCCCCAGAATTGGGCTGTTCGATATAAATGGTGGGTAACGTTCCAGCTGGGCATGCTGGCCTTGGTCGGTAGTCTCGGCTCAAGCATTACAACGCCTGCCGACGACGCCATTGCGAGCTATATTGATGTCAGCGGTGAGCTGGCCGTTCTCAACCTCTCGCTATACGTGTAAGTGTCACAGCCAAAAGAAACAACTTGAATTCTAACTTTTTAGCCTTGGTTTTGTCCTTGGTCCTATCGTCTGGGCTCCCATCTCCGAGATCTGGGGTCGTAGGGTCAGCATCTTGCCCGCCGTGTTCTTGCAAGCTATTCTCTGTATCGCTACGGGAGTCAGTAGAAACGCAGCCTCGATTTTCGTCACTCGATTCTTTGCTGGCTTCTTCGGCTCCGCCCCAATCAGCAATGTCACGGCTGCTCTCGGTGATATGTGGAGTAAAGAAACCCGGGGAACGGCGGTGAGTTTGTACGCAGTAGCTGTGAATGGTGGTCCGGCCTTGGGTCCTATCATTGGCGCAGCACTTGTAACGAATCCCCATCTGGGCTGGCGATGGACCGCGTACATACAGGCAATCTGGGGCTTTGTCATCTTCACCTTGACCTTCTTCTGTCTACCGGAGGTGTACCCGTTGGTTCTGCTCAAACGCAAAGCACAAAATATGCGGGAGGAGACAAACGACCCTCGTTACTATCATCCCCATGAGCATATACAACTCGACTTTCACTCTATTCTCACAAAACAACTGGCTCGGCCGCTGAAAATGTTGCTTACCGAGCCCATAGTCACCTGTGTTGCTTTCTACGCGGCATTTGTCTACGGAGTCATGTATCTGACTCTTGAGCTCTTCCCTATCGTGTTCAGAGAAGCTCGCGGTTGGAGTCCCGTAGTTAGTTCTCTGCCCTTCTTGGGCCTTTTGATTGGTGTCATATCCTCAGTTGGAATCAATATCTGGAACCAGCATCGATACAACCGCATTTCACAAGCTGCAAATGGGATAGCCGTTCCGGAGGCACGACTTCCACCTATGGCGTTCGGCGCGGTTGTTATGGTGGCAGGTCTTTTTTGGTTTGGCTGGACCGGTGATCCTCCTCATCATTGGGTCTTGCCTTGTCTGGCGGCTGTTTTCATTGGTGTTGGTTTCAACTGCATCTTTCAGCAGTGTCTCAATTTTCTCATTGATGTGTACAAGATCTACGCGGCTAGTGCAACGGCCGCAGTCACTTTTCTTCGAAGCCTCATGGCTGCCGGTCTTCCACTGGCTGCAAAGCCGATGGTTAGGACACTGGGTCTTGGACCGGCTGTCTCGATCATCGGTGGTGTGGCTGCAATTCTGCTTCCTGTCCCGTTTCTATTCATGAAATATGGACCTAACTTGCGAAAGCTTTCAAAGCTCGTGCCGGATGGCTTTTGAAATGTTGCATTATAGATAAACTTGATTTGAAAAGGATGTCTAGATCTTTGTTTTCAGGTTTCTGGCGTTTTGCATATAACAATCAGCAATATTAACGCTTTTGAGAAGAGAGACATCGTCCTTAGTACTCCTTCTGACTCCTTGTACAGAATTCAACGATGAATGTATATGAAGGTTTATATTCTTTTATCTTGTACTTATTGTCAATCTGTACCTAGATACCGTAAAACATCGTCATCTCTCACTATCTGGCATCCCATGCTATTGACAAGAGGCTATATATCCTTTCTTCCGATTCGAAAAATGTGAGAATGTCAAGCTGCGGCCTTTCTTGCCCGGGCCAACGCACGGCGATCATGGTGCCACTAAAATTCTTCAGCACGAGTAAAAGGAAGGAACAGAAAAAAGTAGAAAGACGACTGACCTGTCCACAAGAAATAGGAGCATACAACGCTGGGGATTCCTCACTGATACAAGAAGGCACCACTTCGCAAACAGCCTCAGGATTGAAGCCTAAGAAAAATGGCATCGAGTACCGAGAAGTCACCTGTTTATTATAAACACGATGAACGGTGGACTTGAAGGTGTTATTCGATAACCTCTGAAGAAAATCGCCGATATTCACTACAAGAGTGCCTGGGATAGGCCGAGCATCTAGCCACTCGTCATTACTGGACAATACTTGTAAACCAGGAGCATCCTGCCAGAGCAAGGTGATGCATTGGATATCGGTATGCGATCCAATCCCAACGTCAATTTCCTTGTCGATGCCGCCTTCTTCACAGCCGGCAGTTCCTGGATAATGAATCATATTACTATCCGCCCCAGGATGAGTGATCATCTTGTCAAAGTAGTCTTCTGGCAGGCATAAAGCGAGGGCGAAAATGCGTATCAGCTTTCGTGCGAGAGCGAGACGACACTGCCAAAATTCGATCAAAGTCTTTTGAAAGCCGGGGAGATGTTTGACACCTTCCCACATAGCGTCATGATCATCATCCTTGTAGGCATCTGGATTACTGGCGATAAGGCTCTCAACGTCTTCGACTGTTTTGTCATTTCGGGGGTTATATCCAAAGGAAAACGTCTCCTTGTGATCTAAGAGTTTGTTAGCCCTACTCAGTATAGTAGATGAGTCTCTCTTGTCCAAACCAAGACATTGAGACAAACCTTTTGACTCGGTTCGATTTACCTGCGTGCTCCCCACGCCGTAGTATCCATTAAAAGATGATGATTTGCGAATAGAAGCCTTCTCCTTTTCAGCCTCTGGCTGTGCAAAGAAGGCCTGGGCCTGAGACAATGCATCTTTGATCAGAGACTCCGGAATTCCATGGTTCCGGATGTAGAAGAACCCCGTGTTCTGTGATGCGGCTCTAACCTCAGCGGCCAGCTGTTTCCGACTGTTCAGATCGCCGTCAATCGCCGTCAAATTGATTATGGGGATCTCATCAGCGGTCGGAATGCGCGGGGGAGCTTTCGAGACACGCCTGTACTCCGGGCCGCTCAGAGTGAGAAGCTCGACATGAGTGTACCCTTCCGATGCCATGCTGCTTTTCTTTCCTTAACTGGCCTGACATATACTCACTGCCTACTTAATGTCTTTCCGGCCGCTAAATAAATGTCTGAGTTCCGGTGAATAGTCTTGTGCCGGAGACAAAGAGACTGCGGGTCGAGACAAGGAACTTGGGCAGGGCTCTGCATAGATAAAGGCCCCCGACGTTTAGTCATATGAGATATTCAAAAATTAACTAAGATAGAGTCCCTAGCCAGCCTCAGAGAATGGTATATAGCAAAATGGCGACGGCTCAAATTTGAACACGTCTAGTTACCCATACAAGAATCCGAGAAGATCTCGTTGTCAAACAGTTAAGTTCTGACTTTTGCATAGGCCTTGGTCGTAATTCGTAAGGTTTTTATTGTTTTTATTGTTATTGTTAATGCTTTCCATCTCGGTTTCCATTTGCACAAACCCCTATGCCCTCTTTCACATCAAGTTTGCAGCTAAAGCAAATATAGAACCCGGTCGGCAATGCCTTGAGCCTGTAGTTGAACCTTGTCCATTGACTCATGAGTAGCCTTGGGTTTTGTTACGAAGTTCCTCTATGCACTGAGCGCTACTCTGGCATAAGCTGTCATCTGGAATTCATATATATCTCACAAAACCATGGCTTGGCGTAGTATTATCTGCTGGAATTGCAGCTCATTATGATTGTCTTGCGTGTCAGACAGCTATCCCTAATGGCCCCAAATAACCCTAGAGAATATCATTATGCATAATTCGCATAACTTGCATATCAGCTTTTTGAGGACGAGGGAGTATTGCAGACGCAGCCACTTCCAAATGGAGTAATAACTAATGAACTAGATTGGCATATTTTTACTGCTGAGGCGCGGAGGCTTGACAATTACTGCAAAAGATCAGCCAATTCACATCCATTGATTAAGTCCGTCGAACGAAGGATGCGCTCCTCAAAGAATGAACTAACCAAGAGGATCTATGCAGGAACCTGTCAGATGAAAATTCTCCGAGTAAGCCGAGGAATAAGCTCTTCTTTTTAAGCGTATACTTATGTATTTTGTGCATCTTCCAGAAGTACTCATGAGTTCGTTATCCTCTCCTTCCTACTTACAAATTAACACCCTGACCATAGTTAAATAATATTATCCTTGCAAATACTGCTAATAGAAAAATGGTGAGACCCGAAAGTGGTTCTTGCTGTATTCATTATTTAGCGAACCTGTTCGTGTGGCGGCGATTTTCACTACAACTCGGTCAATGCTAGAATACTGCCGAGCTGGACAACGGAATTAATGGGAGATCTTATTACATGACTAGGAAATCTGAGGTGACGACGACTTCTTCATTCCACGTACATCAATGGTGGGAAAATACAAGCAACACGCTGGAATGGGGTGTACAAGGGCCGAGGCTACATACTCTAGAGCGCCTGGATAGAGGATATCTCTGCAGTAGGTCAATGGTATACTCCATATATATAGCAGTTGGCACTATATATTCCTTCTGAATTCCTCAGTTTCAGCAATTTCGTCTGGTCTTCTCTTATTTCCTTAGTATCATACATGTCGCATGTCATATAGTGTTCGTTAAAATGCGCCAATCTCCGACAACTCTCGCAAAGGCGATTGTATTGACAGCCCTGGCAACTTTCGCAACAGCCAATATTTGCTCAACAGTAAAGAATGAAACAGGCGCTGTCTCAGGGCCTTTGACGATTGCTTACGAAGCAGAGCTGCAGGACTACTGGTCAGAGGCATGCTCGGCACTGCGCCCATTATGCATAGTCTTTCCTACTAGTGCTGAGGATGTGTCTAAAATTATTATCACCTTACAGGGAACTGATGATTTGTTCCAGATTAAATCTGGCGGCCACATGCCGAATAATGGATTCTCAAGTATTGAGGGTGGACTGCTGATTGCGACTAAGGATTTAAATAGTGATGTCGTGTACGATGCGGATACACAGACAGCCAAGATTGGACCGGGCCTTACATGGTCTGAGACACAGGATGGACTCAATGGAACAGGCATGGCGGTCGTTGGCGGAAGACTGGGTGGCGTAGGTGTTGGAGGGTATATACTGGGCGGTGCGTATTTGACCTGAAAGTTATATTCCTTTCGGACTAACAACTAGTTACAGGTGGACTGAGTTTCCTGAGCTCTCAATATGGCTGGGCTGCGAATAATGTCGTTGACTTCGAAGTTGTTCTAGCTAATGGAACGATCACTCATGCAAACAATTCAACTAATACAGGTACCATAAACTGATGGCCCTCAACCAGAATAATCAAAACTAATGACAAACAGACTTGTTCGCAGCCTTGAAAGGTGGTGGTAACAATTTCGGTATCGTCACTCAGTACACTCTGCAAACACATCCTATTTCTAACCAGGTAAAAACAACTTGTTGCTCGTGTAGAAACTGAAAGCCTTCTGACATCAATTAATAGGTCTGGGGTGGTGTCTGGACATTCTCATACGAATCCTCCTCTCAAGTCCTTCAAGCAATCCGCGACTTCACCGAATATTACCCCGATGACAAGGCAGCTATTATCCCGACATGCGAGCACACAGCACTTTTCACTACATGGTTCGTTTTTGCGTTCTATGATGGACCCACGCCTCCAGATGGAATCTTCAACAATTTCACGGATATTGGGCCATTGACGGACACAACGCAAACATTCGATTCGTATTATGATTTGGTATGTCTTGATGGACTTTGTTCGTTGAAACAGCACGGGGAGGGACTAAGAAGTTAATGACAGCTACAAAGCAATGACGCATATGATTTGCAGTGAGTGAAGGGCTCCAAGCGTCTACCTTATTATCGGGATACTGACTGATATGTTGAATAGCGGCCAACGCTACGGCATCGCAACGGAGACGACACCTTTGCCCAATGCAACTGTCGGCTTGGAAGTAATGACAACTCTGTTCGAAATATTCTACAATACTACTGAGGAGGTGATCGGTGATTTGGCCATGATCGGGACCATCGCATTCCAGCCTATGCCGCGCACAATTACGAGCAAAGCACTTGCTTTGGGAGGTGTAAGTTTGCCTGTCACCTAGAAATTCACATTGAGTGAAACAAAAGGTAACATTAGAGGGACCAAAACAGGATTTGCTCTCCTTCCCCGACACAACCGACTATATAATCATGGAGCTCGACATCTCGCATTTCCTAGCCAGCGACGACAACTCCACCGAAGCGGCTCTACAGGCAGAATATACCGCATTGAACAATCAGATCCAAAAATTCATCAGCGAGGGCGTATTGGCCGATGTATATAGGCCGCTGTTCATGAATGATGCTCATGGCACACAGGATTATTGGGGCAGGATTTCTACTGCTGACCGGGCAAGGGCTACAAGGGAGAAGTACGACCCGGAGATGTTTTGGCAGAATAGAACCAGTGGTGGCTTTAGACTTGGGTGAATAAAATTGCTCATGTGTCAGCAACGCACTTTCAACACTTTGTGAGATCTAGCCCTAATTACCATTATAGGATATTTTGCGTTTATTTCCTTGTTGAGCCTGTTGTACGGCGTACCACTAGTGCTTAAGACGCAAGGCACTAGTCCGAAAAGGGGTGCGGTAGGCTTAGTTGAGGAACGGCCGGAGACTGGCCAATCACGGGCGGCGCTTTCCTCGTCTGTCCCAGTTCAGCTGTCTCGTCACATCTCTCTCCCTTCAACTCTTAGACCAGGCCCAAGAGTCCAAATCCAAACCCAACCAGGCCCTTTTGCTCAGCCATACGCTAAATTAGACATGGTGGCCATGGCGACGGCGACACCATTCGTTGGCTGGAGACTGCTTCAGCCTTCAGCCGCGCTCCTTTACGAGGTACCCTAAACAGCTGGGTATATAGGTATACTGTAGAGTTTCCTGCCCTCCTTCTATTCCTGTTGACAAACAAACCTATTTACCAGCACATTGGATTCGAAGGAAATTGAACATGGATTGCGAAGTTGAATCCGACATGCTAGGCGGATTCTCACAATCGAGCAGCCGAACTCCGCGCAATAGAAGCGCCCCAAACCAAGCCCCACAAGATACTGTCAAGCAATTCTGGAACCAGTTTAATACCAAGTATCCTGGAAAGGTGCTCACTATTCTGCCAGACAATTCCTATGCTCGCAGTAAAGCTTCACAGCAACCGAATGACGCAATACAGAGCTCGGCGGCCGTCAAATCCTACGAGCAAGCTACGAGAGAATGCGAATTGGCCGTCGCGCGCATAGTCAAGGAATGCGAGCGAATTAATCAAAAATATACAGATCCGCATTTCGACATTGAGTTTGATCTCAAAACGGGAAAAAGAAATTGTCTAGATGGCCTGGGCGAGGAGAATGTGGATTTACGCCCTAGGGGTGTAAGGAGAGTGACAGTATGCTGCACTTTGCTCGATATAATATGCTATAGACTCATTCCTGCTACTCTAGGATATCTTTGAGCACCCTCAATTCTATATCAATGGTCCAACAGCAGGTGATGTGCGCCAGGGACGAGATGGAGACTGTTGGCTCATGGCTGCCTTGTGCACTATGGGAAACAAGGAAGGCTTGATTGACAGGATATGTGTCGCTCGAAATGAGAAAGTTGGAGTGTACGGCTTCGTATTTTATCGAGGTTTGTTTCTGGTTCACCGACATTGACGAAAATACATAGTACTGCATGCTAAGCATTTCCCTTCGGTACGTACAGACGGTGAATGGCAACAATGCATCATCGATGATAAGCTTTATCTTCGCGCTGCCGACTATGACGAATCGATCGATGAACGTCTGGTTTGGGACGATATTAATCGAAAGAATACTGAGGAGGAGTATCGCAAGGTGTGGCAAACAGGATCCCGTGCCTTATATTTCGCACAGTGTTCGGATGAAAATGAAACGTGGCTACCATTGCTAGAGAAAGCGTATGCTAAGGCGCATGGAGAATATTCGGCAATTGAAGGTGGCTTTGTTGGGTACGTCGACACTCTCACATCCATGTTTGGAGACGATGCTGACCTTTTGTTCGAACAACCAGAGAAGCAATCGAAGACTTAACCGGCGGCGTAACATCTGAGATTCTATCAACCAATATCTTGGATAAGGATCAATTCTGGGAGGAAGAGCTGATGAATGTCAACAAACAATTTCTGTTTGGTTGCGCAACTGGCATATTTTCCAATTGGCTTGACCCAAAGTATAAGGGCCCACCCAGAGACCGCAGGGGTATCTCTGAGGGTCATTCGTACTCGATAATGGATGCGAGGGAAGCCAATGGGGTCAGGTTACTACGCTTGAGGTAGGTGTTCACTCTCTCAGCGCAGCCCCCGCCAGACATCCTACTGACAAGCATAGAAATCCTTGGGGGAAGAAGGAATGGAGTGGCGCATGGAGTGATGGCGCTGAGGAATGGACACCAGAGTGGATGAATTTACTGGGACACAAATTTGGCAACGACGGAGTACGCTTTATCTCATTGCCTGAATTAAATATATTGCAGGTTCCCAGGGCTGATTTTCCTAGGTGTTCTGGATTTCGTATGATGACCTTCTTAAGAAGTATCAACACTTCGACCGAACTCGTCTTTTCGGACCTGAGTGGACGGTCACTCAACAATGGACGAGCTTGAACGTGCCTTGGTCAGCAGATTATCAAAAGGAGAAATTTGTGATTGATCTTTCACGTAGCAGTCCAGTTGTAATTATTTTATCTCAAGTAAGTAGCCCATCGAAGAAAAGAAAGGATATGAGCTGATCCGATTTCAGCTCGATACTCGCTATTTTAGAGGACTGGAGGGTGAATATGACTTCACCCTGCAATTCCGACTTGAAAAAGAAGGTGAAGATGACTACATTGTCCGAAGCAGTACTAATTATATGATGTCTCGCGCGGTGAACACCGACATTACTCTCGACGCTGGCAAATACTCCGTCTTGGTGAAAGTGACGGCCTACCGGCGCAAAAACGCAGATGTACCCGAGGATGTGGTACGATATAATGCGTCGCGTCGACGCGAAAAACTAGTTCAGATTGGCCTTTCGTATGATTTGGCACATACCAAAGGTCTTGCAATGGAAACAGGGGCGGAAAAGATAGAGCGCGTGGAACTAGAGGAACGACGCCGACTTGCTCAAAGATAGAAGCTACGGGAGCAAACTATTGAGAAATTGAAGCAGCAACATATCCGAGAGAAGAAAATGCAAGCTAGGAGAGAGAGGATGGCAGAACGGGAACGGCTTCGACAAGCTGCAGAGACTGCCAAAAAGGCTTGTTCGCATGGCGAATTGCATGAGCCAATTGCCGTTTCGAACGGCATAAATGAGCATGATGATTGTGGCAAGCAGACAAATGGCTTCTATCATGAAAAGATGATAGATCATAACATCAGCACCACAAATGGAGCCATATCAAACCGCCAGGTTTCGGACGGTCCAAGCCTTAAGACGAGCTTCACGAAAATACCAAACTCCGATGAAGCAATTGCCGAAATGTTAGAAGACTTTGAATTTGATTCCGATCTTGACATGCCACCAGAAAACCCAGACTCGCCCCCTTTCTCTCTTCAGCTTCAGCTTCGTCTCCTTTCCCTCTCCTTCCGTCGTCTTCCAGTGCAGGCCACGGACAAGGGGGAGACAATCACAACCCCTGGAACGCAGTGTGCGTTGTTGGCCTTAAAGTATTTTCAAAAGACCCTCTGTTGAAGCTTCAGGTTGTGAAACCGGGATGTTGCGGTGAGCGCGGTGAAGCTCCTTTGGATCGTGACGACCCAGCTGTTTCGGCGACCTTTGAGAAGAGGACTTCTTGGCTGTGAAGGAGTGGGATTAAGTATTATTATGCATGTATTTATCTATCTTGTTTTTGTCGTATTGTGTTTCTCTTTAAGACATTCTGTCTTAATGTATATTACACATTGGAATCTATACCCTGAAGGTTGGATTCGGATGTTATCTATGATATTTACTTTCATACATTCAATAGCCTCGCTAGAACTCGTCTTCAGAGCAAGGCAACAGCGGACGAGCAGCAACACCATCTAGCGTTATCTTAACCGGTTTTATATATCCACCACCAGTGTCATCATCGTCACAAAACTCCATTTTATCAATGCACACATACCGATGATTAGCAGCCGAGTCACCGAGAGGACGGCAATGATACACAATGTACCAGTCATCTGTACCAGGGATGTGTAGAACACCATTACTTCCTGTTCCTTGTGCGACGGCTGGATCTGGAGAGAGAATGTGGTTTGTTATGCTGCTGTTGGTTTTGGTAGGGTTGGTGAAGGGCCCCAGGGGTGAGATCGTGGACGTTACGTATTCGACGCCGTAAGAGTTGTCACCCCATCTGAATTTATAGTTAGTTTTGTTGCGTGTTGACAGTTACGAAAAAGGGAAATGAAAGGGTTTCAAACGTACCCTCCCACGCTGTACATGTAGTAATATACGCCTCTCCGTTTGATCATGTAGGGGGCTTCGACATAGTTTGCCTGTGTTAGTTCAAGGATATCTGTCTTGAAAGAGACCATATCATCGTCCAACTCGGCACCAAGACCATGCGACCAGCCTCCCCAGAACAGATACGAGCGAGCATCATCGTCAATAAAAACGGCAGGGTCAATCGGCTGACCGCCAAAGATGACATCGCGAATCAACGGTTTACCGAGCACATCCTTATAAGGGCCCGACGGACCGGTGGTAGATTTCGCAACGCCGATGCCAGCGCCATCCCCAGCGGAGAAATACATATAATAAGCCCCATCCCTATTATTAAACGCGACAGTCGGCGCCCAAGCGGCTCGGTTAGTGGACCAGGGGATATCTGCAAAGTCAAGGATGCGCTCATGTTTGGTCCAGTGGATGAGGTCGGGAGATGAGAAGCAGTCGAAGTAGGTCTGTTGGTCGTAGGAGAGGGATAGCGAGGGGAAGATCCAGTATTGGCCTTCGAAGATCCGCGCATCGGGGTCTGCGTACCAGCCGGGGATGATTGGGTTACCGGAGGTGTTTGACAGTGCTTGTCGCCTTGACGGCCAATTGTGACCTCCGCCCATACTGACAATGGTTGCGACTTATTCGTCGTAAGTTGTAAGTTGGAGGGTGTAGGAGAGAGTGCGGAGAAAGGCCGCGGAGAATGTGGGGACCGCCCCGACTCAACTACCACTGCATAAACTCTTGGCTTGCTAGCCATTGGAATGCATCAAGTCCCTGAACCAATTCGCGCTTTCGTAGACAGTCTCGAGATAATTGGGATCAGTCAGTTGCTGCAGGTGCGTAGCGCCTGTTTGACTTTGACTTTGGGGCAGACTACGCAGGGTCACTCTCTCTTCACCATTCCCAGCTTCTTTTCCCCAGAAACAGGCACGACGCATAACAGACACCATATCTTTAGCTTGCATTCCCAGGACCGAGTTGTTATTGTTATTGTCCAATGCCAACTTCCTCAGGCTTGGTGTGTGGTTTGGATGAAGCATCCCTGGATCTGTTACGGCGGCATTCCATCTCGGATCAGAAGGAGTAGAGCCCAACCGAGCGAAAAGCTTCACATGTGGTAGAGTGATCTGGAGCCTAGTAGCTCTGCTAAAACCCCTGCCGTTAGCATTGCCATGATCTAACCCGTACGGCGGCCAACGCGAGAGCGCCTTTCGACGGCGTGAAGGTCGCTCTCGCTCCTCTTCCTGGCCCAAGTTTTCGGTTGATGATGCTATTTCGTCTTCCGGTTGCATGTGAATATCCCATAGATCCATAACGTCTTCGGCAGCTGGCGGACTCTTCAAGACGGGAGTAGGATATTCGGGTCCTGTGAGGTATTTTGGGATTATTTTCGGGACGTCTTTACCGGCAGAGCGTAGAAACAGCATGGGTGATGCAAATGCGTCGAAATACTTGGATGGAGTGTTGAACAAATACTCTCTCGTTTGTAGCAGCGGTACAAGATCAGATGGCGCCGTCTTTTTCCTCTGCCTCAAAGTCTGCTTCTTCTGGACGGGTTGGCAAACAAAATATCGCTGCTTTTGTTCGATATCCTTAAGACTCATATCCTCACCTTGGTTATTATTAGCACCACTTTCAGTTTCTGAAAGTCGTTGATCGATGGTACAATAATCATCCAGACCCGTCCAGTCGCAGACGGGTTCATGCGCTGCAATAGCGTGTATGTGTTCGGACTCTGTCAATGCTAGCATGGTAGCCAGCGATCCTCCAATATTTGAGCCGAAGACAAATAGCTGTTCAGGACGCAGTGTGCGCAATATCCAGTCCAGTCCAGCCAGCGTATCATGAACCGGCGTTGGGTATCTGTGTAACACGCGATTGCGATTCTTGTCCTTATCCTTATCCTCTGCTGCAGTTCTTGCACCAGCATACGTATACCCTACTCGATAATTCAATGTGACAATACTTGCTTCCGTGACTGCAGTCATCACTTCTTGCGCCGTGGAGAGCGCGCCCCCGAATGGACTGCTCACTTCAATGTCATGATCCGCAGGAAAGTAATCAGTCGTCCTTGAAGAATCGTTGGTATTCAACGTAGACTCGTCTTGGAAAATCGGTCCTCGAGGCAGATATAATATCACTTTGGAATTGTATTTGGCATTTTCCGTTGCTGGTCTGAGTACACTGCTCCATCCAACCCATCGCTATTAGCTCACAACTTCAAAAGAGCGGTTCATGTTACTCACGTAAGTGTAATCGAACCATTTCCCCCGACAGGTACTTCAACGACATCTTCGACCAGAGCAGGTGGCGAAACCGAAGCAAATGTTCGATTTTGGAAACGTAGGACGCGACGCGCCGCCAGTTCGAAGCGCGGGGAAAGCAGAGAATTGGCAAGTCTTCCCCAGAATTTTAATCCATGGTGATACCGACAACTCGACAGGAGGTGCATCTCATCGCATATTTTAGCTGTCTGGGGTTTGAGATTAAATAAAATTACGGAGTACGTGAAGTCGTGTGGGAGGAAGGATGACAGATGGAAGCATAAATTATTGAAGGGATGCGATAAGATAAGCCCTGCACATGTCATCCACAACAAATTCTGGCGGATAAGGATGAATTTAAAGACAGAAATTCCAAAGGAAAAGGCTCAAAAGCACAGACAGGGGTATGTATTATGTGGCAACTCCATCAATCATAACATAAAACAGTTGTACCAGTTCACCAGCTCTTCCATCTCCTACCCATTGATCATCCCACATAAAAGCACTCCCATAACAGAACATGAAATTGACGCCCAGGAACAACCAGACAAGAAAGTAGTTATGCAGATTGAAAGTATAAAAAGAGCATTCCCAAGTGCTTCTTGGTCTTCAGAAACCCGGAAGTTGACCACAAAGGATTTGATACTCGTTAAGCGGCCGCATACATGAATTCGTTCCTCCTCATGTGAAGCACCAGTAAATCATGAATGGCATTTATCATAAAAGCAATGCAAATAGTAGCATTCCTATACTAACGGACGCGAGTGCGGCCAGAGTAGTATTCAGTGCCCTGGGCAAAGTACGGGTGTGCGCACGCTTGTTTGGCTGAGATGCGACGTGCCGGATCGTATTCGAGAAGCATTTCCAGCAGCTCCAGACCAGCCGGTTCCAATCCAGAGACCAGAGCGTAGGGACTGCGTTTCCATTTGGGGAACGAAGGTTTGAAATCGGGGAAAGAGGACACGCCGGGCCATGTGTGCTCATCAGGCGTTCCGAGCAATCTATTCACAACGAATTAACCAAGAAAAACATGATTAGGAGGGTATATAATGCTCACCTGAAGATTTTAAAGATCTCGTCAATCTCCGAGTCGCCTGGGAAGAGTGGCTTGCGAGTGCACATCTCTGCGAAAATAGCTCCGACAGACCACATATCGACGCCAGTAGAGTACTGACGTCCACCGAGGAGAATCTCTGGGGATCGGTACCACAATGTGACAACCTCGTGGGTATATGTTCGCAGAGGAACACCGAACGCGCGCGCAAGACCGAAATCGGCCAGTTTGAGGTTGCCTTCCCGGTCAATGAGCAGATTCTGAGGCTTCAAATCGCGGTGCAGAATTCGGTGGCTGTGGCAGTAACGAACGCCTTCCACAAGTTGTGCCATAAATTTCTTGACCATGGCTTCTCCCAGACCCATGTGGTTCATTGTTGTGCCCCCGGAGCCGTTTGGGAGAGCTTTCCCACGGCCTCCCTCGCTGACTGGAAGCGCTTCCATGTACTTTTTGAGATCGAGGTCGAGGAACTCAAAGACAAGGTATAGTTTGTGGCCATCTGCGTGCACAATATCAAACAAGCGGACAATATTCGGGTCGTTCATTTCCTTCAACAGTGATATTTCTCGGATGGCAGTGCTCGGGACGCCCTCATCTTCGGCTTCGAGTCGAATCTTCTTTAGTGCCACGATACGGTTATTGTAGTTTAGGTCTCGGGCCTTGTAGACGACACCATAGGTACCTAGGTAGAGCGTCGTTTAGCAAATGAAAGAATAGCGCTTGGGGTATTGCAATTGAGGCGATATTAGTAGGGTGGGGAGTCTGCAGGAAATGAGCATATCACACACCCTCTCCTATCTTCTCAATCTTCTCGTAGTTTTCCATGGCGAATCAGAAAACCCGAAGACCAATTATATGCACAGAATAAGGTAAATTCTAGCGGCGAATCGGGTTGAGATGAGAGGGGGGTTGGGAGCAGAAAAAAAAACAAGACCACACTGTTTACTTGGCTGCGGAGTTGGTAGAGGGGCTGCTGTGTGTTAGTGAGTAGTTTGTAGGCCAGTCCAGTACTCAGAGGCACATCATGAGACAGACAAGATCTGGTTCATCCACAGCGATGGTCCTGATCAGTGCGGGAGGAAGTCGAAGTTAAGCCTTGCTGCCTTAAGGCCGCGTTGTGTACACAAACAAAACAAAGAAAATAAGATTAAGCGCGCCCTCCAAGGCGGTGAGCGGATCGGGTGGTGCCACTGCCACCAGATGACGTCCTGAGATGGGCTGCTGCTCATTCAAGAAGAGAATACAATATCATGACTGTGTACTTGCTAATAACCATGCTCTTGTGTTAGCAGAATGGCAACAATCAAAGGCCTGGACGCCCGCGATCGCCCCCCAGAAAAAGTCCGCGATGTCTTCAAAACATACCTGCACATCAAAGCGCCAGACATCGCTCTGGACGCAGACATAATTGACCTGGAGAAAGTGGACGTGGATTGCCTGCCTGCCGCCTTCGAGGCTTCAAGGTTTCTAGACAGTAAAAGCATGCGCCTGGCCTTTGATGAATTCATGGGCAAGGTTGATCCTAGTGCCAAGCCAGCAGGAGATCATGGCGGTGGGCTCATTGAGGACGTCCCCGTCTTTACACACAAGAAAGTATCTGGTAATGATATTGGAACCGGCCTACACAAAGAGAGAGTCTGCCAATGTATGTAACAGGTCTCCGTCTGGTTCCATCTCTGTTTCCACCGACAGTCCAGCACAAGCTTCTTGTGCTGATGCTCCGTCGGGACCTGTCAAGTCCAGAACATCTAACAAACCTACATCTACACTATAACATTAAATATGCTGATCATCTAGCTACCGAAAACAAAGCGAAAGGCGCTTCATTTTTCGAAGCAAACCCTACACACATTATCTTGCCAAAGGATCCGGACGTCAACAAGCCCATAGCTATCCAAGGCATGCTAGACAAGCAGCTTCGATGGATTAAATTAGACGACAAGCCACCTGCAACCCCGACGGACATATCTCATCTTCTCCGAGCTGCATTGCAATCAACAACAGTCAATATCTACTCTGCTGCCAACGACACTGTGGGCATGCACCGCGATGTCAGCGAGGAAAGCAATATTAGGCTCGTTAGTGTGAGCATGGGCTGCGATGCGCTTTTTATGATTGGCCATGATGGCGGCGAGGGCTGTGGTGTTATCCGATTGCGCTCCGGCGACGCGGTGTCTTATCTGGCCAGTTGAGATTTGCCTGGCATGGTGTTCCCAAGATTATACCTGACACTTGTCTGGCATGGTTAAGTGAGTGGCCTGGACCGAAGTACCCCTATTGGCAGGGGTGGATGGGGAGAAGAAGGGTAGATCTGAATGTTAGGTAGATGGATAGATGTCATCGTATAGATAGAATCAGAAATAATTGTATATATTTCGATAAGTAGGGGGTGTTCATCCTAATCACTTAAAGATTCTTGTCGCACTTGATGATTGAATATTAGAATAAACTTACTCTGTAGATATGACATAGCCACAGTATCTCAGATCTTCGGTCTCGGCTGGTTATTCTTATACAGCCACGCAGTCGACTACGCCATGGTCGAAATGCAAATAGACCATTCCCTGGCTATCACAACTTTGGACTCTTTCCCTTATCCCTGACGCTCTCACGAATCGCAACTAGGTCGGCCAGTAAGTCAGTTTTCCCAACTCCGAGTATGCATGTCCGTCTGGCATAATGACTGCTATTTTGGCGATGAGGTATACCTGTAATCAACGTCAGCGAATGCACCTGCCACTGCTGAGGAATTTAAGAACATATTAGAATATTGAATCCGGCGAGACTTTGCAGGCAACACTCCGCTTTGTCATCTCGTGCGCCGTTTCGCGTCTCCTCCAGCAACTGCCGTGGTGTTTTCCCATCCGCATTTTGTATGTTCATCAGATCGAGCCTACTGCTAGCTTCTTCCAAGACCTTCATCATCTCGTCTTGTGCTCTAATCTTAGCATCCAGCGATATACCAAGTCGTTCATCTTGAAGAGGAAAGACCCTTCCCTTTGCTGCCTGGTGAAGCGGTGTATCGCCGTTTGAATTCTGAATTTTCATGCTAGCGCCACAGCTAAGTAAAGCCCGAATGGCCGCGACTTGACGCAAGTTCAATGCCATTTGGTTGATTGGAGTATTTCCACGTATATCGACATCCTCGACGTTCGCACCCAGAGCCACGAGACGTTCGATTATTGCCGGGTCTATGGCTTCGCCATTTTGTGTGAAACCTAACAAATGTAATACATTGCTTCCATCTTGATTTCGACTGTTTGCATCTGTTGAGCACTCAAGCAAGATGTCTAAGATATCATAATATTGATAAGTACAATCTCTGAATTTTAAGACTGCGTACCATAGAGCATTGTCCCCTCTATAATCTCGGGAATTGACTGAGTTTGGATCGATGCTTAAAAGCAACTTGATGGTGTTGACCACGTGTGTTGGTACTTCATGGCGAGGAAGCACATAGCGGTGCTTCATACCATGAGCCCCTCGTGCAGCCCAGTGAAGTGGTAGACGGCCGTGGCTGTCACGGGATAAGACCATCTCCGTAATGGTGGCCTTGCCTTTATGGTGGTCAAATAGAGCCTGGATACCATCAACGTTCGCATGAAGACTTCCCAGATGAAGTAGAGTAACACCATGTACTCTCTCGTCGGCTCCAGAGGAAAAGATATGGATGTAGTCCATTATTTTTATATGCACATCCGCCCCTTCCGCAATGAGTCGTTTCACTAAATCATAGCTAGCCCTCGCAATAGCCAGGCTAAGAACTGTATCTGAAATGTATTCTTGATCGTGTGTAAACGTCACTACATCTCGAGCGGAAGCTCCTCGGCACGAGCCTTGTGGGAACGCAATTCAAGGTCATCATCTTCCTCATGGTAGTGCGGCATATGGGTCAGGGAAGATGCAGTCGAGATCAGTGGCGTTTGACGATCGCCATTTCTGGCGTGGAGGCTTGCTAGCCCTGGCTGAGTATCCAAAAGATACAGTGCGGTCTCGATCCGAGCATGGAGGCAGGCTACGTGAAGCAGGTGGAGTTGTCGTTTTTCAAGTGGTATCATTGGTATACTCCCAGTGTCGGTTAAATGATCATTGTAATGTTTAAAAAGCAGGTCAAGTGCTTCAGTACTACCAGACTCGGCAGCAACATAAAATGGATCCCAATAGTATACCTTAACATGGCCTTTGATCGCATTGACGCGCTTCCGCAGGTATTGAGTCAACTTAGCCAGATCATTGTGTCGCACAATGGTTTTTAAAAGACCGCCATAGGCTTCTTCATAAAGGACTGTACCGTCGTCATCCGTAACGCCGACGTCGTAAGCGTCTTGGTGAAGTTCGCGAAAATATTCATAGGTTGATATGGGTAGTGTCGCGCCGGATTATGCTGACATGGTGTATGCCGTTGATTTAGGAGGCCTGGTAGCTGTTTTAAAAAAGAAGAACCAGAATGTCAAGAGGAGAATTACCTGGCGAGGTAGGTAGTAAGTAGTAAGACATTAAATAATCGGCCAGTGGCTAGTTATCACACGTGTTTACAAGTATCTGTATTACACAACTAATATCTGTATCGTACTCGTAATGTAAAGCAATCGTATATTTCCATCTTCACTAGGTGCAACGTCGCGTATATATAGTATATATATTCTATAGTGTACATATCCTTTCACGAAAACATTTCTGTCCATTTAACTTTGATATTTTATGTGCAGACATATAAATAAAATAACTCCATCCTCCGTACAAAGCCGCAAAAACGCTGCATAATACTCGCCTCAAATATAGAAAGGAGAAAAGAACAAAATTTCATTAGTTCATCAGCCTTCAAGAGGGACCATACCGACTTGTGTGAGCCGGAACCGACGAGGACGGCGGGTTACTTGAAGTTAAGAGAGATTGTACAGAGTTCGGACTCCATGCAGTGGTATTTCCGTTGGCAAGTTGTTGAGGACCACCAGATCCATAGTGCTCAGTCTCAGCCTGAGAGCTGACCATGTCTTTCCCCGATCCGTTCATCAGACGCTGCCGTTTTGCCGGGTGGGTGCTGTATGTGGTCTGCTGGTGCGAAAGATCGTAAGGCGATGTTTGTTGTTGAGTGGGCATAGCAGCGGCACCGCCGCCAGCACTAGTAGTAGCAGCAGCAGAGGTTTGGGATACGTATCCAAATGCCGAGAATTCATTATTGATTTCTGAACTCGAAGTGTTCATGTTCGAGCGGGTGGCGGTAGATTCTGTAGCGGGCTCATCGGTGCCGCCTCTGTAAGAGCCCACGCCGACTCGTCCCATACTCTTGTCGTGCATGACAACACGCTTCCATTTTGCAACTATATTGTCGTAATCCCATCGCGAAGACCCAGCGTTAGCAGTACTGCTATCCAGCGCGTCTAGCTCGCGGGCTGCATCACGTGACAGAGGCAGCATATCTGGGGGGAAAAGCGCAAACTCTCGCGGCCATTGGCACGAGCCCAGTCTTTCAACTTGTGCCCGGAGCTGGTTCGCTTCCTGTTGCACCCTGGTAAGTTGCCCTTCGAGGTCCTTGCGTTTTTCTGATTCGCGCACAAAGGCTCTAGTAAGCTCCAATTGCCAAGCGTCTTTCTTGACGTCTGCGGGTAACACCATCCAATTTTGGTAGGCTAGATCGAGGTGCCGCGAGCTAATCTCGTCGTGTTGCTGAGCTGTCCGATTGATTACGCTCGGGTCATTCACTTGATTATTCTTACTGCGACCACCTGAATTGCCTGTGTCGGCTGCCGCTAACTGCCCGTTGCGCCATTGTTCAATGTGCGCTCGAAGGGCATGGCGGACGACTTCCACTTGGCTCACGCCAGGGGGTTCCATCGGAAACGATGTGGGAGTTGCAAAGGGATGGGTTGCAAATAGCGCTGGAGGAGGGGGGAGTAGCTTGAGAACTAGGGCGGGATACGACTCGGATTGGACATCGAAATCGAAGGGAGACAGACGGGCTCGGCTTATTGTTCTGAATATGTAACTTAGTATTAGCCGTTCAGAGAGGATATATATAAATAAACTCACGTTGCGGCTCTTATGTTGTCCAAGACTTCCTGCAGGGCCAGCTCCAAAGCTCTGACGGTATCTGCATCCTTGGCTTTTGAATTTCGGGTATAATCCAACGAACTAGTAGCCACTGTCTGCGGTTGAGGCATGGGAGTGCGCGAGGAATTGACTACATCCTGCGTGGTGCTCTCAGGCAGGTCGTTTATTACGCCGGTTGCATGCCATGATGGCGTGTTGAAGAGGAACCGGGGCGTGTCGCGCAGGCGCGCGGCAGGATCATGAGCGCCGCCATCCGGTGAGTCGTTGTGACCTTTGCGAACGCCTACGTCGGGGCTCTCGTGCTTGTTTGAGGTGCGAGCCTGTCGCCGGGTAATACTACTGCGGATGCGACGAATCTCATCGACATCGTGGATGCCATCGGGCTTCTTCTTGAAGAGGTACTGGTCGAGATGCCGCCCAAGCGAGGAGGATGTGAAAGCTTGGTGACAGTATTGGCATTCCTTGTCCTTCACTGCAGAGCCCTTGGCTGCGCCTGAATGTCCAGCGTCATCTCCGCCGGCCGAGTCAGCGGGGCTTCGCACTTGCTCCTCAGCGTCGACCATCTCGTTCGTGATCTTCTCAGTTAAGAGACTCGAGTGAGCGGGATTGACGGAACAACCGGGGGGAGAGGGAGGCTGGTAGCAAGTCGTCGACTAAGCTGGCGCGGATTCGATATGCTGCTGCGCTACTGCATAGCCAAGACAGCCGAGATTAACAAAGACTAGCTCGAAGATCAAAGTCGGCTTGCGCAATTTAGAACAGGGTCGAGCACGCTTGAGGCTTGGAGTGCAAAATGGCTTCGTCTCGGAGTCCCTCGTGCCTGGGCCTCACGTGACTGCGCGCATTGCCGATGCTATTTCGTCGTCGGCTTTTTTTTCCTATCTCAATCCTTTATTATACGACTCTTGCTCAGACATATACCCCTTCTACACAATCCTTGATTTCTAATAGCTCCTAGGGAGGTGCAGCACCTGCTCGCTTATATAATTAAGAATGAGCTCGCGGCTCACCGGCGCAATGCGTGGAATAAAGCACTCCCTGAACCACCGCTCCACGTCGAATTCAACAGCATAGCCCATGCCGCCGTGAGTCATAACAGCTCGCTCACACGCTGAGTACGCGGCCTCTGCGGCTAGGTACTTGGCGCTATTGCAAGCAATTCCGACGGTTTTGAATGAGATTGAGCTGTCAGTCTTAGAAGCATCGAACATGCGTGCTGCATGGTAAGTAGCAAGTTTGGCCGCCTCAAGTCTCATATAGACATCAGCCAGAGGATGTGCAATTCCTTGGTTTGTGCCTATAGGGCGTCCAAAGACACTGCGCTCGTTGGCGTATCGCGAGGCCTTGTCTAGGGCAGCATATCCCAGACCAAGAGCTTCTCCTGCTAGCAGACAGCGCTCGGCATTCATACCATGAAGAATTATTCTGAATCCATCGCCCTCCTTACCCACCAAAGTATCCGCGAAGATCTCGTAGTTATCGAAGAAGACCTCATTAGCGTCAACTGCACGAGCTCCCATTTTCTTGATCTTCTTGAGTTCTAGACCCGGGTTTTCCCGGTCCAGGTTTATAGCAAACATTGACAAGCCATCATTCGGTTTCTGAACTTCCTCGAGGGGAGTCGTACGTGCGAGCAGGATCATTAGGGAAGCGGCCTGGGCACATGTAATCCAGATTTTCTGGCCAGACACGAGGTATGCATTGTCGGTTCTTGTTGCCATGGTCTTGAGTCTCAACGTGTCGAGGCCTGTGTTGGGCTCCGTAACGCCAAAGCATGTCCGCCAGGTGCCATTGATGATGTTGGGTATTACTTTCTCTACCTGCTCCTTCGTCCCGAATTTCGCCAGTGGCTGTGTTGCGTAGATGTTGGCGTGAATTGACTGTGCTCCTGCCATGCCTGCGCCAGATTGGGTGATAGTCTGCATCATCACTGTAGCCTCGGAGATTCCTTGAGGACTCAGCTTGGGCCTGAAATATCTATCTGTGTATGTATATATGTCTCTACCAGTGAGGAACCCTACCTAATCCCGACCCGCCGAGCTCCTCGGGCAGGGCGATACCCAACCAGCCGTCCTTTGCAAGAGCTGCATGGAATTCCTTGGGATCTTTCTCCTGCTGGTCGCATTCCTGCCAGTAGGACGAGGGGAAATGAGAGCAGATTTGCGAGACCGCTTTACGAACCATCAGCTGCTCTTCCGTGAATCCAGTCAAGTCCATTAACTGTCGATGGCGTTTCGATGTCGAAAAGAACCGTGAATGGTGCTTCGCTGACCCTACATGGTGCCAGGGAGCGGATGCCACTTTCGCCAGAATCCGCTTCATTTTGATATTGGAAGTCAGCTCTATTGAACGCAGGTTATACAAATGAAGAGGTATGCAGCCGATTTAAGCCTGGAGGCTCTCGGGCTTCCCCACTGCTTCCCGCGGAACCATACAGCCTAAATCCGGGCCGAGCAGGATCCATGGATATAGTATAGTTAATGAAACAGAATGCTGGTCTTGACTATTATATCCACAACCACAACATTGTTGCACCTTGCTCGTGCAGGCTAACCATGGCGACTATTCGAACGTTCTCCCTGTCTCTCACTTGGCATTCGGTAATCTCCCGAAGGACAATGGCGACATCTTCCACGAACCCGCAACCGCTCAAAGGCATCACAGTAGTCAGTCTTGAACAAGCCGTGGCTGCGCCATTCTGTACTCGACAACTGGCAGATCAGGGAGCAAGAGTGATAAAAGTTGAGCGTGCCGGCGTAGGCGACTTCGCCCGCGGTTATGATACTCGAGTGAACGGGCTTGCGTCACATTTCGTCTGGATTAACCGATCGAAAGAGTCCCTAGCTCTAGACCTGAAGAACCCCAAAGACCACGATGTCCTGTTGCGCCTACTCAGCCGGGCAGATGTCCTGGTGCAAAACCTAGCCCCGGGTGCAAGTGCCCGCCTGGGTCTATCGCATGAAGCACTCAAAGGGAAACACCCGTCGCTTATCGTCTGCAACATTTCCGGATATGGAGAGGATGGACCATACCGCGACAAGAAAGCATACGACTTACTCATCTAGAGCGAGGCAGGCTTGGTGTCGGTGACCGGTAGTAAGGAGGAACCGGCCAAAGTCGGCATATCGATCGCTGACATCTCGGCTGGCATGTATGCATACACCAACATTTTAACTGCCCTAATGCAGCGCGCCAAGGATGGCATAGGCCGGAAAATTGACATCTCGATGCTAGAATCAATGGTGGAATGGATGGGATTCCCCTTATATTACACATATGACAAAGCACCGCCTCCAGCGCGCGCCGGCGCATCACACGCTGCAATTTATCCTTACGGACTCTTCGAGACCGGTGATGGACGACAGGTGATGTTAGGCATGCAGAACGAGCGCGAATGGAAGATTTTCTGCGAGAAGGTGCTGCACAAAACGGAACTTGTAACGGATTTCAGGTTCGTGAGTAATACGCTGCGCACACAAAATCGGAACGACCTAAAGAATATCATCTGCGAATCATTCTCCACCGTCGGTGCTGAGGAGGTCATTGCATTGCTGGAAGAGGCGCAGATTGCTAATGCTAAAGTCAATACGATGCATTATGTATGGGAGCACCCGCAATTGAAGGCGCGCGAGAGATGGACTCAGATCCAGACCCCGGCCGGTGATGTGCCTGCTTTGTTACCACCTGGGTTTTCGGCTGAGCAGGATGCGAGTTGGCTGAGGCCGGTTCCTCGCGTTGGTGAACATAACGATTCTATTCTTAAAGAATTGGGAGTCACAGAGACGATTCAAAAAAGAAGATTAGATTAGATGCCAGGCTTGGATGCATACCCAAAAAGAGAGATATATATGTAATGAAGAGTCCCCACGGACCTTATACGAGTTTGAATGATCTGAACAAAACCGAAAATTAACACTACAAGCCTTTCATGGCAGATTTGACGAAGACGACGATTCTGGTCGAGTCTTCTCATGCAACTGATTGCCTTTGGCCTTTGCTTTCCGCACACTGAGAGCTTTCTTAATTTCCTGAACGCCGTGAAGGTATAGCCATGATAGGAAGAATATGACGGAAAAATTGAATACAATATAGCCCCAGAAAATGCCCTGCGAATGTTCATTAGCTGCTAGTGCGTCAAACACAGGAAAGGGTAGAACAAACTCACAAAATCACGCCATTTATTCGAGTAAAACACGTTGAAACTGGCGGCCTATTTATCATTATGTCAGTTGGACAGCTTCCACGAGTGACAGATTTCTAAGCGGGTTAAGCTTACAAACTGATCACCAGTGGAATATGCGCAAAATGCACACATCCCGTTACCCACGTCTTCCACATAACCTCCTGCTTGTGCTGTATAAGCGCCGGCATAACTCTGACAAGTCATTCCAGAGGGCGGCGTAAACCTCGCTTCCTCGCGTGCTACGCATCGAACTGGTTGTCCATGCACTAGAACACCCAGAAGTGCCTCCAGCAAATAGTGAAATGGGGTAAGCCAGTACATCCACGCCCTCCAAAAGCTTGGAAGGCCGAAGTAAGGAACCACCACACCGCAGAAGGAGACAACGAAGGTGAAGAAAGCCGGCACGATGAGCGAGGCAAACAATTCGTTTGGAGACAAAGCTGCGATAAATTGGCCGAACGAGACATAGTACAGTTCAAACAGGAGAATCATAATGTAGGTAAACCCGCTCGTGAAGGAATCGCGAGGGTATCCAATACCCCAGTACCAGCAGTTGAAGTAGATGGATCCTGCCACTAGTGAATAAGGTATCTCTGGCAGGATTGCGCTCACCACAAAGGCTGGCCAGGAGTAGATTTTTGCTTTGGCCTCGCGGGATTCGTACAGATTCCGAAAATGCAGATATCGGGGTTGTAGCTGTTGAATGAGCGGGGGCGAGATGGTTAAGGTCATGAAGACAGAGAAAAGTCTCGACTGCATGTCAATGTAACTTTGCCCGACCTTCCAGAATGTGAATGTGTTGAAGAGGCCAGTAAATATATGCAGCATGAATTTCCCCTTTAATGATTTGGTCAGCAAACGGTCGGTCTCGCATTTTTACCAGGATAGGCATACAATGATATATTCAGGCGACCTCCAATATGCAACAAAGGAACGCTTGGTAGTTGCTGATATCTGCGTCCAAACGGGCATAGCATATTCCCTATCATCTGTGGCTTCTTGACCGGCTGTCTCATCACGTCTGGAGCGAACGATTTCTTCAATCTCTCTTGTGCGAGCTTTACATTCCTCGGAGTTTGCCCAGACGTCACCCCAGTCCTTACCTTTATAATTTGGATCTCCGGCTCCAATGACCTCTAGCATGTACTATCAACAGGATGTGAGTAAAACAGATCATGCGTGAGGATATTTTCAGATTACGTACCTCTGCAGGATTTGCATCCTTGGGACATGGTTTCCCACCGTTGCGCTCCAAATAATCAATCAGAGCACGAGAATCCGAACCCAATTCACCATCGTAAACCACACAGCCTCCACTCTTTAGCAACAAGAGATCATCAAACTGCTCAAAGAGCACTGCCGATGGCTGATGTATCGTACACAACACAGCCTGGCCCGCATCAGCAAGACGGCGAAGAAACCGCACAATATTGTACGCTGCAAGGGAGTCCAGGCCAGATGTTGGCTCGTCGAGGAAAAGAAGTAATTCCGGTTTACTTGCGAGCTCAACTCCGATGGTGAGACGTTTGCGTTGTTCCTGGTTTAGACCTGACCCCCCAGCGCCGACAGTTGCGCCCGCGATGGGTCGCATTTCTAGTAAGTCGATTATTTTCTCGCAGTAGTCGTATTTCTCTTGTAGGGGGACTTCACGTGGCTGGCGTAGTTTTGCGGAGAATCTTAAAGATTCGCGGACTGTTGCAGTGGACTCGTGAACGTCCATTTGCTCTGCAAATCCTGTTGCTCGCTGGAAGCTTTTGGGTAATGATCTTTGAAGGTGTGAGATTATGTTTGTTCCCGCGAAGAAGAAACCATTGAAAATATACATACCGGCCGTTAATAAAGAAATCTCCCTGTACAATTCCGACGTTCACCCTTTGCGCTAATACGTTGAGGAGAGTAGTTTTACTTTGAGAATGCCGATTAGCTGCTTCTATTTCTACAAAGATCGAAGAAAAGAATCAGATACTTACCCAGCGCCAGATGCGCCCATCATGGCAGTCAGACGGCCAGGCTTAACATAACCCTGAACATCACTCAGAAGCCGTTTTCGCCCACCTTTCGTTTGGATATCGTAGTTTACATGCTGCCAGGTGAATATTGCAGTGTTTTTTGCAATACCTTCAACGCTTTTCTCATCATCAGCAGATCCATCGTTAGTATCATTGTTGACGCTACCATCCTGGATTCTGTCTGTAGCTTCCTCATCTCCGGCTGTTGTCTTGTTTTTGATAGCATCATCAATACTCTTGGGTACTTGACCTCGTTTGAATATAGTCACAGAGCTCCCGCCTTTATTTGGCTTCTGCAACTCCATTCCGATCATTGTCAAGACGACAAAGAATATGAGCCAGGCAATGATGATTCCGAAGTTTCTCCATAAATGGCTTCTGGAATATGTGTAAGCTGCTTCAATATAGTCGCTGCCCCTTACAACTGTTTGGTCGGGCTGGCTTCCTTGAATAGAGCAGCTTTGATGCTGTGGAGTGGCATCCGGCCCTCCAGGAACTAGGGAAGGCGAGATACATTGGATATTGAGGTTGTAGAATTCGTTACTCATCAAGGCTTCAAAGGCATACTGTACGGGGTTAATCCATATAAGCCATTTGAGCCACGGGTGCATCTTCCAGGGTGGAATCAAATATCCTATCGCCAGCAAGATGGTTAGTTATAGGTCCTCTTTGTATGACTAGTAGAATGATTGACGAACCAGTATACACAATTAAAGCCTGCAAAGCAACACCGGTGATTCGAGTAGCTGGGAATTTATTAACTCTGTGCGTAAATCAATACTTTGGAGTAGAAACTCACCAACGTCCAGAGAGGAGCAAAGAGCGCCTATACTTCGGAAGAAAGAGTAGATAGTCAATGTTAGAACAAACAGGATCAAAAGGTTTATGAAAAACTGAGACGGTGTCCGTGAGAGATTAGACATACTATAAACATGCCTCAGTTAGTTCATGAGTATCCACATTTGACTGGGAGGGAGACAGACAAGTATACAATAAGGTCAAAGACGGTAACCTGGACTGCAATCAGTGGCATGTCGACAACCACTTGAGCTAGAGCATATGCCGACGGTCGGTAGAATGAGCTGGGTATGATGAGCGAAATGTTTCTTTTCTCTTTCCCCGAATTCAACTTACAAAGCTTTATGTTTTAGCAGAATTGGCCGACTGGAGAATGTTGCAGTGAGTTCAGCCAAAGCGAGGAGGGCGTTGAAAAGGAGGATATAGAACATGACGCCTCCACGAGGAAATACGCCAGCGCTGGGTTCAAAGAAGAATTAGTTCGAAACGCCAAAGAAAACCGGCTATGCGAGACATACCTATTTGGCTGAAGATTGTAAAACAGACTTCCCACAATTAAGGCCTGAAATACAATCATACACCATTTCCCGTACAACGACTGCTTATCACCTATCATGACAAGGAATTGCCGCTTGGTAAGGGCTAGTACTTGTTTATGGAATGGAAGAGTGAAGTTTCTTCGCTTGATCTTGTCACGAATAGCTTCGCGTTCCTTTTCTTGTTTTGCTAGCTCCTGCTCAAAGTCATCAATATCTTTAAGCGCAGCCTGATGTAGGTCACTCTTGAGATAGATACTCTCAAACTCCTCTGCCGTACGCGGAATCCGATCTTCCCACCCAGCTTTGACACGGCGAGCATGTGGATCGCTAACAGAGGTTAGAAAATCCGGCGTCGTCCATCGCGGAGGACACTCAAACCCCATGTTCTCAAAATATTCTCTCGCCATGTCTATTGGACCATAATACGCACATCGGCCTTCCTCAATCAGCACGACTTTGTTGAAGAGACGATACAAGCTTTCGGCCGCTTGATATAGAGCAACCAAAGTCGAGACTTGGGCCATGTTCGTAAGACTGCGTAGACTCTGGACATACTCCAGTGCGGTACTAGCGTCAAGTCCCTTGGTAGAGTTATCCCAGCATTGGGTAGATGCCTTTGTGATCATAGCTTCGGCAATGGATACTCGTTTCTTTTCTCCGCCGGAGATACCGTGGATGAGTTCATTGCCCACTTTCGTATCCATAGTGTGCTCTATCCAGAAGAGCTTTGTGATGGCATTGAGAAAGGTCTTTTGGTAATCCGTTCGCGATTCGCCTGGATTACGGGATTCTTTGCCAGGAGTTCGAGTCTGGAGGGCAAAGGACAGTGTTTGCTTTACGGTGAGGGTTGCGTAATGCAAATCCTCCTCGGGGTTATATGATACTGTATATATAAGTGAGAATCCGCCACTAGACAGTATATTATCAGAACCGAAATATACTGACCCTCTGAACGGTAATTCTTGGCCATGGTGGTTGGGTCTGCTCCTCCATATGAGACGTCTCCCTCAATTGCTTCATAACCAGCTCTCTGATTACCAATTACCTTTAGAAAGGTTGAACAGCCCGAGCCGGGTCTACCAAGGACCAGGAGTAGTTCGCCAGGCCGTACACAGCCCTAGACAAAAAAAAATTCCCCCCGGTCAGAGAACAGCGACAAGAGCCAAAAGGGGAGAGGAATTGGAATAGCTTTACAGTAAAATCATGCAAAATCGTCTTTACAGGAACATTCTTCCCAGCTCCCTTTCTACCGCGGCTAAGGAAGCCCTTGACCAGCCTAGGCAGCGCAAGAAAGATATCGCCAACTGTAGGTTGCAAAGCAGCGCCCAACCCAGCACCTTTCACATTCAAATTCTTCCAGACAACGCCGGAATGTCTTGATTGCTCTTCTGCCGACTGCTCCTTCCTTTCACGGCCAAACATGCGCGACATTAGACGCTCGATTTCTGCCCATTCTTCACTTTCCTCTCCCCCGCCAACGTTCGAGTTGCTGGTGAGTTTTCGCGATAGCATTTGACACAAGTCATTGTTGCCGTCATCTTCGGCGGATTGCGGGCATGAAATATTCTCTTCTCTTTGCCCTTTTCCTTTTTGCCCATGAGACGAGCCGCTTTGAATGCGAATGGGCGAATATGTGGCTTCTTCGCCATTGTCGCTTGGGCTTGAACGGGCCGACGTCGAGTGGTCAGGTACTTCCGCATCGGGAAATGTCGCCATGCTGAATGACGGCCGCCTACGAATGCATCAAGTCGGGGGTAGAGTATGTACGCAACATCTAGTTAGTTAGTATTCACAAAGTCCAATTGATCAAGATGAGGGAGTATAAATTGAAGAAGAGAAAAACGATCTGCCAGAGGACGTCAGAGCTGGAGCGAACCCTAAGTAAGTAATCGGCATAGTGACGTAATAGACGAGTCCTTTGCATAACGAACGCAAGACTTGCCGGAAAAAGGACGAAAAAAAAGAGAAAAGAGGAAAAAAAAAAAAAAAAAGAAAAAAAAAAAGGACGAAATAAAACGCAATAGAATATCATGGTTACGTGTGAAAAAGGAAAATTCGTTGGTTGCTCGATCTGCACGTAGTCCTGCTGTTGGCTGGTATCCAAACAATGTAATGTCTATCAACTCCCCCGATCCGGTTTAAATCAATGCTTGCTTCATTAAGTAGTATATATATGGGGCAATCTCTGTAAGATATTAGCTCTCCGTCTAGACGAGTTCGGTAAACCTCGTCGCCGGGTTGATTAACAGTCCGTCTAAGTCGCGTATATTGTACGCTCCGCCCTCATCATCGCGTACAGGCACTGGCTCCGGCATATTGGCCAGGCGACTGGTAAAGCCACGCGATAACAGCAGTCCCATCACTCGCGCCGACTTGACGATCTCGACAATCTCACTACTCAGTCCTCCAGCCTCGGCACGGAGCGTGCTCCAAAATACGTCTTCCAAGACCCCGTAATCGGCAAATCTCGTCCAGCCATTCCTCAGATGAACTGTGCTTATCAATTGTTGGATGGAGTATAGGTTCAGCCCAAAGCACGTGATTTCCGACTCTGCCCAGTCAACCACGCCCACTAGATGGCAGGAATCTTCGTTCACCATGATATTGCAAATCCCAAAGTCTCTGTGGAGCAGCACCATTGGGAGAGAGAAGATGGCCGGCAGTGAGTCGAGGGACTGCTGGATTAAGGGATGAAAGCGGTCCGGGAGAGAGACAAGCAATAGCCCTAATTCTTTCTCATACTGGCGGCGCAGACCATCGCGGTATTCTCGGCTGACAGTCTGGGGAGAGTTCCACGAGCGGGCAAAGAACCTGTGCAATCCGACAATCAGCATGTAATGGAGGG